GAGACAGGTTCTCACAGTGTAGTTCATGTAGGTCTTGAACTCACTATGTAGACCAGGCTTGTCCTTGAACCCATGTCAATCCTCCTGCCTCAGCCTCCTGAGTGCTGGGATTACACATGTGTGCCAGCTTGCGTGGCTGGTTAGATCCTTTTGGAGTGTTATGTATAGCCAAATTCAGCCTTTTTGCTGTAAAGTTCTGTGATCGTTCTCGTTTATTTTTAATAGGCACACAGAAGCATACAAATTGTATGTGTCGCTCATTGATTGCATACTTTAGAATGCTTTGATACACAGGTGTCTGGTGTAATGTTTAAAATCAGGGCAAACCTATCTATCTTGGTCCTAGGGCCAGGGCTGTAGCTCAAGGTAGAATCCTTGTCTAATACATGTGCAGCCCTTCATGTGGTCTCTGCCCTGCCAAATGGACATTTTAACAAAGACCTCCCTATCCCCCCACATCATCATCTCACTGTCCCTTTTAATAGCTTTCAGAGTTGTCTGGCCTGCTGCCCCCATCTGCGATTGTCCTACAGGGCCCTCACACCCCAGCCTCTCGCTCCTGTCTGATTACCGTTTATACCTGTGATCCACCTGACCGTAGCCCTGCGTCCCTGCCGAGTCCTTGCCTTCCATTCCCCCCAGTGCTGAGATCAGGAGAGATGCAGTCATGGGACCTTGAGCACAAGCACTGTGGGTGTTAGCGTGCAGATTCCCCAAAAAACTAAAACTGGAAATTCCATACCACCCAGCTCTTCCCCTTTTAGATCTATATATGGACCCCCCACCCGTGCAGTTCCAGCGTCTCTGTTCCCATCTCTGTTCCCATTCTTGCTTGGCCTTTTCCAGGGGGCCCTGGGAATGCACTCAGACAGGGCCGAGTAAGACTGAAGCACCTCACAGCCGGCTTTGTTTGCAGGTGCTGGATGATTTCCCTTCTCATTGTCTAGGCTGGACTCGTAGGTGCTTGGAGAATTATTGTTGCTTTTTTTTTTTTTTTTAACTGCAGCTTCCTGGAGCCTTTTTATGAATGAAAAGCCTCCTTGCAGATGCTGCGGCTGCCCCTGCTCAGGAAACAGGCCCTTCCTCCCCTCTCAAGTGCCCTGCCAGCACGCCGGTCCTGGGGGAGGGGGCCCAGGCTGATGCTCTGCCTCGGGGTCTGTTTCCTCCAGATGAGTCCAGTGCTGGGGTGGGCCAGTCGGATCAGCCCTAGTGAAGGTGACACCGAGGGCCTGGGGACCGTACTGCCCACCGCGGGGTGCAGAATACCTGTGGTAAATGCGTCCTTAACTGAATGGGGACACTTTCCCTTGTTATTTCCTAAGTACTGTGCTGTAACAGCTATTGACTTAGCACGGGTGAGTGCTAGGTGTTACAGTTCCTCTAGAGGTGCTATTGACTTAGCATGGGTGAGTGCTAGGTGTTACAGTTCCTCTAGAGGTGCTTTAAAGTCTGGAGGGAGAGCCAATAGGTTCTACACAAATTTCACAAAAAGACTTGAACATTTGTCAGTTTTGGCATCTTTAGGGGTTCTTGGGATTAATCCCCTATCAATGTCAAGGGAAGATCGTGATAATAATTCTAATGCAATGGTGATGACGATGATGATGGAACCAGGAGCTGACTTTTATCAAGCGTCAAAACAAGTCTATCAAACGGGTGGTGCCTTGGCCATATCACCCCGTTTACTTCCTGCAGCAACCTTAAAAATCACATCATGAGGAATCTTCTTCTTATGCCATTTTACAGGCAAGAAGAACAAGGCTACTGTCAGTTTTTTCCAAATGAATCTTTTCCAACTCTGGTGCTACACAGTCACTGAACACCAGGGATGCTAAGCTCTACCCTCAACCTTTCTACTGTTTGGTTTTGAAGTGGGGTCTTGCCGGGTTGCCCAGGCTGGCCTGCGACTCTTGATCCCCTTGCTCAGTCCTCCTCCCAGTTGCTGGGCTCAGGGGTGTGCAGCCCCACACCCTGCTCTGTGTGCAGAAATCTTTGTGGTGTGCTTGTTAGGCAGCAGACACCATCTCTAACGCTCAGTGCATCTGGCTTCGGTCAGTTGTCCTCAATTTTTGTGACTCTGGGGACCAGTTTTTTTGGAAGGCAGTTTTTCCACAGGTTGGTGGGGTGGTGGGAAAGGGTGCTGTGGGGTGATAAATGCTATTTTCCCCTCTTCCTGCTGAATATTCAGATTAAGTAGGCATCTGGTGCATGCTCTGTGGACCTTAAAAACCTTTCACAGAAATCTGTGAGTCTCTGTCCTTCTGTCCCATCCTGCTCCTGTCAGAGCTGCTTAATTCTCTTTAGCTTGGGTGAAGAAGCAGCATACGTATCAATGCAGACACGCTCAATAATTGGGGTGTGATTTTCCAGGCTCAGAGTGGTTTGTGGAGGTCCCACAGCTGAAAGTTCTTGGATGAATTCTTGAGCCATTGTCTGAGAGTGGAGGAGCAGTGTGGGGAAGACCCCACGCCATAGGACTCTCCTCTAGATGAAAAGACCCAAGACAACTGTTCTAGAGTGATAAATGGTAGAAGGAAACTTTAAGAAGATAACATGCTAGGATGTGGTTTGAGGAGTGGCAACTTCCTTTGTGGAGCAAGCAGTGGTCTTTGTCAGGAGTCGGGTGAAATCCAAAGGGTGAGAGGAACTGTGAAGAGGCATTATATAGCGTGCTCTAGCCAGTGAGAATAGCAGGTGCAAAGGCCCTGTAGCAGGACTGAGCCTGCATATGTAGCATACAGGAGGGAGCCCATGACTGTCGTTGCCTGGGCCCAGGAGAGCACTTGGTGGTATCAGTGGGGCCTGGAGCCCTCAGGACACGTGGGCTTTTGGCTTTTCCTCTAAGCCTCCATGGTCCCCTGAAATTGAAATTAAAGTCAACTAAAATGAAACAGAAGTTTGGTTCCTCAGGAGAAACTGGAAGTTTTGGGGGCTGTTGGTGGGGATGTAAGATAGCTCAGCCACTGTGGAGAACAGCACAAAATTTAGAGAGTCATCAGGAAGTTAATGAAGCTCAGGCTGATGGTATGGCTCATTGCTAGTCACATACTTAGCATTTGTAAGACCCTGCGTTTCATCTGTGGTGCTGAAAAACTTAATGTGCAATTCAACAGTTCAGTTTCTGGGTAGGTAGATAGAAGAGCTGAAATCAGGGATTTGAAGAGACCGTTAGATGCCACATGGCAGCGCTATTCACAGTAGCCAAAAGGCAGAAGCAACCCCAGGTGTCCACGCGCAGATGAATGGTTAAACAAAAATGGGTCACCCACAGAATGGAATACAATTCAGCCATGATAAAAGGAAGCCACGCCATGGATGGGCCTTGAGGACTAATGCTCAGAGTAAGATGCCATCCAGATCAGACTCCTAGGCAGTCTCTGGAGTGCCCAGACCACAGAGACGGGAAGGAGATGGTGGGTGCCAGGGAGGGATGGGAGTTGGTCAGGGGGCCAGAGGTGCAGCTCGGGCAGATGTGGAAATTCTGGAGGTGGATGTGAAGGGTTGTTGCACAACACCAGTACTTAATACCCTTGAACTGCGTGATTCAAAATAGTCAAGACACAGCTCTTGTGTGCTGTGTGTATTTTACCACAATTTAAAAGTAAAGTTTGATTTCTCAGTTGTGCTAACCACATTTCAGCTGCTGCAGGGTGAGGGGGGGCATGGCCTCTGTGATGGACGGCACAGATGGACAATGCTTCTGACCACACAGGAAGCTCAAGAGGTTGGAGCTGCTCAGAGGTGCAGGGCTGCCTCTGTTCCTTGGGTGTTGCCCGTGGAATCTGCTTGGTGTTGGGAAACTTTGTTATGAGAATCAGAGAGCCCAGGGCTGCTTTTATCCTTGCAGGATTTGGATAGAACACAGGGCTTTTAAGCTACACCTCCCTCACCCCCACTCCCCTTTTTAAAACCTAGAAACAAAGTCTTGCTCTGTGACTAAATTGCTCAGACTGGGCTGGAGAGTGTGGTCCTCCTGCCTCAGCCTCCCCGAGGGCTGGGATTAGAAGTGTGCGTCACCATGCCTAGGACAGGAAGTGTGGAAAGGAAGCATCTTTGAGATCATGGCTGGGGGGTGGTGGTGGTCTGACCTCGTCCAGGCTGTCTACCCACTTAGGAGTTTGTCAAAAGCCTGGGAAGGAGAATGAGGTGAGGTGCACAGGACCCATAGATGCCAAGAGACTGCCAGGGAGAGGAAATCAGGAAGGGACGAGTTGTGGTGGGGACAGGGGCATGTGTACCAGTGGTGGAGGAAGCCAGAGTCCAGGCCTGCCTTGTCCAGTGGACAAACTCAGTGGCTGAGAGTGTCCCTGCAGCCAAAAGGCTCTGCCGTCACCTGTGGGACACCTCCTTCTGGGTCACCATCTTTTTTTCTCTCACAGTGCTAAGGATGGAGCCCAGTGCTTGCAAATGCTAGGGAAGCTCATCCCTTAGCTCTTTTTTTTCTTTTTAAAATAAATTTTATTTTGTGTTTTTTAAAATTTGTAGACAGTCTCCCAACCTTGCCTGGGCTGCCTTTGATCTCCTTATCTTCCTCCTTGAGCCTCCAGAGCAGCTGGAATGGCAGGTGCCCTGGCAGTGTCCTAGTATGTGCTCCTTGGAGGTTGCTTGCTACATTGTAGCTGCAGTCCATATAGATTGTATCTGCGCTGGGAAGTACCATTTCACAGTGTGCTACTGTGTAGCTGTCTGCCAACTGTCTGTTCACCAGCTTCCTTGCCCTGGGGTAGCCTGGAATCACCATGGTAACGGGCAGATGCTCTAAGTGAGGGCCTCCCTGCCCCGGCCCTTGGGTACCGGCTCTGTTTCCCCCAGCCCAGCGCCAGCCTGGGGGCTCCTGTGAGTAAACAGACGTGTGTGGCCGGTGGCAAGTGCTGGAGAAATGTGGCTGCTGTTACTGTTATTATTTTGCTTGGCTTCCAGTCCCCCATTGAGGATTGCTGCATGTGTGGACAGAAATTGGGCAAAGCCCTTGACCAGCTGTGTTGTCTTCCCCTCTCCAGTCTGCCCGACCGCCTGTAAGTCCCACGGCTGTACCGCTGAAGGTCTCTGCTGTCACAGCGAGTGCCTGGGCAACTGTACGGAGCCCGACGACCCCACCAAGTGCGTGGCCTGCCGCAACTTCTACCTGGATGGCAGGTGTGTGGCGACCTGCCCGCCACCCTACTACCACTTCCAGGACTGGCGCTGCGTGAACTTCAGCTTTTGCCAGGACCTGCACAATAAATGCAAGAACTCTCGCAGGCAGGGCTGCCACCAGTACGTCATCCACAACGACAGGTGCATCCCCGAGTGTCCCTCTGGATACACGATGAATTCCAGCAAGTGAGTCTGGGTGCAAGTGTGGGGAGGGAGGGGGTGGGTGAGGGGAAGGGGAAGGGAAGAGGAGGGGAGGGGAGAGGAGGGTTGGCATGGACGGGGAACGACGTGAACGATGGTTAAAACTAGTGATGGTGGTTTACCTGGTGCAGCTGCACCTCTGGCCGTGGTGGCCCCCACCTGTCACTCCAGCTGCTTGGGCAGCTGAGGCAGGCAGATCATGAGTTTGAGGGTGGGCTAGGCAACTTGGTTTCACCAAATAAAATAGAGAGGGCTTGGGTGTAGGCAGATACTAGAGCGTTTGCCTAGCATGTGTGAGGCCTGGGGTCCGTTCCCAGAACTGCAAATAGATAAATAAATGCTGTGCGCAAAGCCAGAGTTAATTGGCTGTGAAGGAGATTGCTGTCGCGGGCAGGATGCTCCGACTGGTGTTAGGCTTGCGTCTCTCTGATGCCACACACCCCTCTCTCCCTGTTTTGGTTCTGAGCTTTGATGCAGAGGTTGACAATCTTTTTTTCCTCAAAAGAAGCACATAGTAAATATTTGTAGTGTCTTTTCATTACATATCTAAGCTTGCTAGGCATTGCTTCAGATCTGAAAATGTAAAGATAGAAGCCCTTTATCTTCCCGGGAGTCCCTGGTATCCTTAGGGATAGACAGGCCTCATTGTTTACTGTGTTACTGTATCATTATATTGTTAAACTGTTACATTGTTGCGTTTGGTGGCATGTGCTATAATCCCAGCACTGAGGAGGCTGAGGCGGGAGTATTGCTAAGAGGTCAAGGCCAGCCAAAAATACTGAAATCCAACGTAGCTTAGGTTCCTCTCATCTCCTCCAGCTGAAGGTGGGATATATGATGGGTTCACCCAGGAGCACTGGGTCAAGGAAATGGAGAATCACTCCTGGAATATTTCTAGGCTTTTGCCATTCTTTGAGAGCCCAGCCATTAAACCATTTCCTACAATTTGGGTGAGAAGTGGCAGCATTTTCTCTCCTTGGCCGTGGATCAAATTTCGTCACATATCTAGACATTTTGTTAGCTTCCTAGATGAGGTATTTCAGCGTCTGGGGTTGTGACCAAGGTTAAAAAAACATGTTTCCTTGTTTTTTTTTAATGTGTGGAGGGTTAAAAAAAACATTCAGCACCACAAAACAACACAGAAAACAAATCAGAAACAGACGCCCATCGGGAGGCCTTGAGCGGCCTGCTTACGTAAAAAATCTTCCTCTTCAGAATTGAGAATTAGCCAAGCGAGAGTGTTCTGGTGGGGAATTTTTATTTTCTGAGGTGGAGAGAGGGTTGGAAGGAAAACAGTTTTTATTTTGGTTCTCAGGAACCTCTTTTGGGTGTTCGTGGAACCTGAAAGTACAGTGTGTTTTGTTTTACTCATTTTTGATTTAGAAAACAAATCAAAAACATCAAATGCCTGTGCTGACCAAAATTAGTTCCCCATCAATCACCTTTGTATGCTGAATGGAACCGTTTTTTTTTTTTTTTAGGGTAACGTTGGGAAAATGGCTGTCACCCTTTGGGTTGTTTCTGCCCCCCACCCGCTTAAAAAAAGAATTAGTGGCTTCTGGGGAGATGTTTATTTGAAAGGCATTGACTTTCAATAAAGGGCATTTTCCACTCCCATAAATAAGATCTAAGAAATACAGCCACTTTCTTTGATACTTGCTTTGATAACTGCGTTAAAACAAACTCCCACCTGCCTGGCAAGCAGGAGGTTGTGAGTTTGATTCCCTGTACCCAAACAAACAGCCCCCCCAATTCCTTAAGGAATACATCCATTGAGAGCTGGGTGTGGTGATGCAGGCCTGGAATCCCAGCATTTAGGGGGCTGAAACGGGAGAATCACCCCAAATTTGAGGCCAGCTTGGGATACACAGTGAGTCAGGACCAACCTCAGCTACACAGTGAGACTCAGAAGAGGGAAGAGGGAGGAAGAGAGAGAGGAGTGTGTGTGTTAGGGTTAGGGTTACATCCTTTAGTGCCAGTGTCTTGGTTACTTTTCTCTCATTGCTGGAACAAAATACCCAACTCCCAAAACGAAAGGTTTATTTAGCTCACTCTTTGTGGAGGTTTCAGTCTATAATCAAATCAGCTGGCTTCAAGGCAGGGTGGCATGGCACCAGGGCAACACATCAAGCAGCAGCCAGCAAAAGCAGCCAGAGCAAAAAGGGGAGAACAAACCTCTTTTTCTCCCTTATATTCTAAGCAGGCTCCCCACCACCACCTTGCCCAGAGCACCCAGGGCGTCCAGGGCAGGTGTAGCACTCACACCAATTCTGTGCTCTCCTCCTGCACAGGCTGAGGGTATTACAAAGTAAGAACCCGGCTCCCTGCTGAGACTCTTAGTTAAACTTCTGAACTTCTCAACTTGACACAATGTATCAACCATAACAGCTGGGAATCTTCCCTGAACAGAAGGCAAAGTGAGGGATCTCAATAATGATGCATGTGGTGGTATTTTACTTTATAAGTTTAAAAATATTAAGAAAATAATTTTACTTCTGAGGGTTGTATTTTATGGAAGGCTTTGTAGGATGGTCCCTTTAGCTAATGTGGTTTGATGCTGGTTAGAATCAGATGCTTCTCTTTTCTGTTCTATGTGCTTATCCTGGGCATAGTTCTGGTTACTTTGGGAGCAGAGTTCTGGGAACTCACACAGATGCCACCCACTGTGGTCACCTGAGGTCCTGGGTGGAATCCGTGGGTGCCCTTTCCTGACATAAGGTGGACCAGAGGTTTGAACTGTTTGTGGGCGCAGACACCAGCTGGGAAGACGGTGTCAAAAATCCTTGTATTTTTATTCTCACTCTCTCTCACTCCTTACAGTTCCCCTCAATCTCAGATCCCCCCACAACTCCACCTGCTGCCCATTACATCCGGCCCAGGTACCTGGCATGGTCTCTTTGCTTATCTTTCTGTTTCCATGCTAGACAGGCTGGCCAAAGGGGGCTTTTAAGAACCAGCAACATAATGTAAAGCCCATGCAAGTGCCCCTCGGGACACAAGGCAGATTCTACCTATCCTCCGAGCCTCTCCTGGTGGTCATTTCACTCACCCCCCAATTGCTGTGCCCACACAGGCTCATCCTCAGACTTTGCTAGGTTCATTCTCGGGCACATCCCTCCTTGTTAACTCTTTTCACAGCCTCCACCACTGGCTGATATTTTGAGTGTCACTTTACGTGTTTGTCCCTTGGCACAGTATGAACATTGGTGTATCAGTTAGCACCTACTGGGTAACAAGTTGCCCTGGTGCAGAATGGCACAAAACCGCACCCATGTATGAGCTCTGTGACTCTGTGGGTTGGCATGTGGTTCATCTGGCCAGGGCTGGTGTAGCAGTGGCTGGGCTGGTTAGGAGTAACCTCTCGTATTTCAGGTCGGCAGCCGGGGTCTGTTGCCATGAGGTTTTATTCACTCCAGATCTAAGAAGTGTGAGCCCCATATGTGAGTGCTGTTCAAGCTTCTACCTGCATCACACTTGCTAATAAATATCCTGTGTGTCTCAATGAGCCGTGTGGCCGAGCCTTGATTCAGCAGTTAGGGAAATAGCTATTATTTGTGAGAGAGGCCGGGAAGGAACTTCAGAGAATTTGTGACCGTTTGTAATCACAGAATAGATAATCTGTGCTTTTCCCTTGTGGGGACAGGCAACATGGACTAGGGACTGGGAAGGGCCAGAAAGTCAACATTTTTAGCTTTGAGAGCTGTGTGGTCCCCATGGCATAGGCTCAACTCTGACTTAGTGCAAAAGTGGGCTTAGCTGACGTACAGACCCACGGCGTCCTGAAGAGCTGTTCTTTGCAGAAGCAGGCAGTCAGTTGGGTTTGGGCCATGGGCTGTGCTTTGCTAACTAACTCTGAGCTTTGAGTATCGTCTGTCACGTAGGCCTGGACCCAGTTTGAGACCTCAAGCACTGGGTCACGATTCTCCTTCCAGCCCAGCTGTTCTGAGACCAGCTGGGTTGAGGCAGCATAATTCTGACCTCAATAATGTGGGGCTCTCTTCAGACTCCCCAAGAAGAAGACTCAGTCTGGGTGCACTCAGGATTCTGGCCAACTAACTATACATCTGAGGACTCCACGAGTGCTTTGAGTTTGGTCATTTATTAGAATGACTCAGGTCTATTATGTACTGGTCAGCTTTGCCAAATCTGAGCCAGAGTGCTGGATACCCATACCTTGAAGAAGGAGAGATTTATTTTGGTTATAGTTCCAGTGGGTTCAGGCCATGGTGGAGTGGTTCCCAGGCAGACACGGCCCAGTGGAAGGGCCTGGCTCACGTCATGGGACTGGAAGTAGGTGGAGAAGGGTGGACCGAGGACAAGAATACATTGTTTCAGGTCACTCCTGCAGTGACCACCTGCGCTGGGCTTCACTTCCTAGGAGTACAATCAGCTACGGGACTCATGCATAGATGAATCCACTGATGATTACAGTGACCCCGTGAGCTAACCACCTTCCACATACACGAGTCTTCGGGGGTCCTTTATATCTAAACTGCAGTTGCTTATAGCTGGAGTGTGGTCATAAAGGCTGCGTGAAGGACACACACAGTCCTTGCCCTCCCCTGTGGAATCCCAGCATGCTCTTGGTTCATTGCCGTGATCTCCACCTGGGGGCCACTCCTAGCTTCAATGTCTCTGGTTTTTGTTGGGGAACCTCACTCTAGGCACAGCTGATTGCATTGCTGGCCACGTGGTTGATTCCATCTCCAGCTCCTTCCTTTAGTGGTCAGGCAGCTGAGAGCTCAACCTTTTGATCACATGGTGGCTGGGGCTCCCATCCGAAAGTCACCTACGGACCTGCCACAAGTCACCTCGGCACTCCTCACAAACACATTTCTGTCACTCGGGAAACTCCAGCAAGAGCTTCTGAAGCCTTGGACCAGAAACCTGGATGCACAGATGCACAGCCCTCTCTAGGCATCTGTCGGGGACTGGGTCCAGGAACCCCATCAAATACCAGAAACTGTGAATGTTTAAGGATCTCAAATAAAATAGTGTAGTCAGCTGGGTGTGGTGGTGTACGCCTGTCTTCCTAGAACTTGGAAGGCTGAGTGAGGTAGGAGGGTCAGCACAGGTTGTTCAAGGCCAGCCAGGCTACATAGTGAGAACCATTCTCAGAAACAAACAAACAAACAAAACAGCAATAAGAAAATTTTGTACAGGTTGAATGGCCCTTTTTCAAAATGCTTGGAACCAGAGCATTTTAGATTTGGGATATTTTTTTTCTTCAGATTTTAGAATATTTGCACAAACATAATAAGTAAGATAGACTAAGGATGGGACCCAAGCCTAAACATGAAGTTCCTTTCTGTTTCATACCTATGTTCTGGAATGTGGTCTGAAGGTTATGTTTTGTAATATGTTTTTTGAAAAAAAGTTTTTTTTTTTTTAAACATGAAACAAAAACAAGCCTGGCCTGTCCAAGACAGTCACAGTGAGGAAGGATGGAATGGCATATTTCAGAGCTGAGGAAGTGTCCCGTTTTTGGAGATCTTAGATTTCAGACTTTTAAACTAGGGAAAGCAACCTATGTTTTCATATGATCTTTCCTCCTGCTGTAATTCATCCCGATTACTGCTGACATCTAATGCCGTGGAAAGGAATGTCATGCCACATCGTGGAGGGAATAATAACAGGAAAAGACTATTAGTGTCCAGTCCTGATGCAGGTTTTTTTTTTTTTTTTTCCCCGTACCGGGGATTGAATTCATGACCTCACGCCTGCCAGGCAGGTGCTTATGCTGCTGAGCTACGTCCTGGGCTCCCCCACCCCCATGCAGTTTTTCCCAGGCAGTTTTGATCTTGGATTGGTTGGGTTCATGGATGCAGAGCTCTGAATCACACAGCTATGAAAGGGCAACTGTAGCCTTTATCAGACTACAACCCCAGATCTTTCTGAAGAGTCAGATGCCCCGGGGTGTGGATGTAATAGTGGAGCGATGGTACTGTAGGCAAGAAACGATCCTCAGAGCCATGAATAAAGAAGTCTGTGAGTTGGGTGTGGTGATACCCACTTGTTATCCTATTGCCTGGTAGGCTGAGGCAGGAGGATCACCATGAGTTCAAGGCCAGCCTGGGCCACATATTGAGACCCTATGGCACAAAAGCAAAACTGACCAACCAAAAAGACAAAATCAAAATGAAACAAAAACCCTCAGAGTAACAAAGCCAAAACCAAAAAGCTTATAGCCCTGTTTAAAATTATTTTTTTTTGCATGCTAAGCACTTTTGGGTAATCCGTATCACTTATCATCAGCCCACATGTGGCATTGGCATTGTCTCTGTTGCGCCCATGAAGAGACTTTGACAATGTGATGGTTGGGAATCTTGTTTTGTGGGCCAGAATCGCAACCCAAAGTGGTGTGAGCAAGGTGGAGGGAGTTCACTGATGCCCACAGTCCAAGCATTCAGGGAACCGCCTCAGGCGCAGCTGCATCCAGGAGCTTGAGTGCCACACATGACTAGTCTTTTGTCTTCAGGTCACTGTGCCCTTTTGTCCTCAGGCAGCTTCTCCGTCACTGGTGGTCCCAGGCCAGCATGCTGGTAGTGTCCTTTCAAAGCCTCCAGGAAGGATAGTTTGTCTGTCCAGGAAGTGAGCAAAGTTCTCACTGGACTGGCTGGCTCTGTGACTCCGCAGAAGTGGACGAGGGTGGCCAGCCTGGCTCGGGTCCTGAGCCCTGCCTGGATCCAGCGGGGTGAGGCTGGCCAGGCACTGAGATGTGTGTGGGGGCATGGATTTGCCAAGCACTCTTCGGGCTGTGAGTCTGAGGGTATAAAACCACACAGGGAAGCCACGGGCTGCGTAAGTCGCCTGCTACCGAGCATGGAGGGTCACAGAGGACACGCAGCGGCAGGTGTCCTGTCCCCTCAGAGTCCCCTCGGCTCGGTTGTGCCATACTGGAATAGTAGCATCGACTGCCACGCCCCACTTCACCGGCGTGATCACCGATGTCATCACTGACATCTCTTTGGGGACTGGAATGTGGTGAAGTCTGGGGGACAGTCCCAAGCAGGGCAGGGGTTGCTGCTGGCAGCCAGGGGTCCAGAGCTGTTCAGGGCACCTGCCACTGCCGTGAGAAGTGTGGTCTTGGGAGTCAAGGCTGCCTGGAAACCTGGCCAGGAAGCCCTGCCTGGGGTGTGGGGCATGAGCGGGTGACCGGGTCCCCGTGGTGATGGCTGTCCACTGTGCTCTGCGGGGCGTAGGGACATCCTGCGTCCTGTGTGGGTCCTAACTAGTCTCTCCTCTCTCTGCTGCATCCTCAGCTTGATGTGTACCCCATGCCTGGGCCCCTGTCCCAAAGTCTGTCATCTCCTGGAAGGTCAGAAGACCATCGACTCGGTCACCTCGGCCCAGGAGCTTCGAGGCTGCACGGTGATCAACGGGAGCCTCATCATCAACATCCGGGGAGGCAGTGAGTGTTTGACTGGTTGAGGCTGGGCTGTGCAGTCCTTAGAGCTGGGGCTGGGGGAGCTGGCGCCTGTCGCCCAGCAGGAGGCAGGGGGAACCCCAAGTTCAACCTCAGCCGGGCAATACAGCAATTCTCAGAGACCTTGTTTTGAAACAATAATCCTCACCTTTCAAGTGGGGAGCTAGGGGGTTGGAGATCTGCGTTTTGTGACGAGCAGGAAGCAGGCACTCTTGCAAACCCAGACTGAACTTGCAGGAATACTGTGCTTGGGCCAAAAGGCACAGCTGGATGGCATACAACACACAGGGAACAGGCCCTGTGCTTCCTGGGATGGATTTAAAAAAAAAAATAAGGAAATCAGGCTGGGCGTGGCAGCCACATGCCTGTCATCTGAAACCCTAGAGAGGTTGAGGCAGGAGGATCGCTGTGTGTTCCAAGCCAGCCTGGGCTATGAAGTGAGACCCTGTGGTATCCAAATGCACGATGCACAAGTGTCTCCTGTGAGATGGTGTAATATTTGCACAGAACCTCTGCACACACCCTTCACACCTTCTCTTGACGACTTAGAAAACTCGATGCAATGTGCAAGCTGTGCACACAGCTGATCTGCTGTGCACCTAATTTTGGGGAATCATGAGAAGAAAAAGCCCATATGTGTTCCACATAGGTGTTGGTCCCCCCCCCCCCCCGCCAAATACTTTTGCTCTTCAGTTGGTAAAATCCATGATTTCAGGACCCATCAAGACTGTAGGGGACCAACTGCTCTCAGCTTCGTAGGCTGACTGTGGTCATTCTAACTCAGCTCTGCTCTTTTAGTATGAAAACAGTCCCAGACACAGGGCATGGACACAGGGGCAGGGCTTTGCTCCAATAAAGTCTGAAATGGGCCAATGGGCTGTCATTTGCAAACCTGTGAAATAGAAATGAAATGAAGTTGCTATTTTAAGAAGCTTCCGGTCCGGGGAAGGAAGGATTGAAACTGTGGGTGAACAAACTAAGCAGATATTGGGCGGGATATTTTTATGGATGAAGGAGGCAGCCAGTGTAAAGGTCCTGAGGCAGGAGTTAAGGAACAGAAAGGACTGTGGATTGCTTTCTGAGCATGATAGGTTTGTTATGTTGAAATCATTTGCAACCAGCCAGTGATGCCCCACCATATGAGAGGTTTCTGCAGAACCTCACAGCGTGATCTCTCCTTTCCACAGATAACCTAGCAGCAGAGCTGGAGGCGAACCTTGGCCTCATTGAAGAGATTTCAGGGTATCTAAAAATCCGCCGGTCCTATGCCCTGGTATCACTTTCTTTCTTCCGGAAGTTGCGCCTGATTCGAGGGGAAACCTTGGAAATTGGGTAGGTGTCGCCTGGTTTTGCATTTGTGACTCAAATGCCCTCCTTGGCCTAATGATTCACCCCCATTTCCTGAACTCCTTGTCCCCAGCCTGTACCTTCTCCTTGGGGTTCAGGTGACCCTGTTTCAGTACTAAATCAACAGAAATCTAGGCTAGCGGTACTTTGAAACTTAGAGACCGACTCATGGCCCAGAATTTTGAGGAAGACCACTGGGCTTTGCTATGGACTGCTTGGATTCCTTAACTCTCTGTGCTCCTCTCGGTCACAAAACGGCTGCCATCTCTCCAGTCCCGTCAGGAGAACAGACAGGAAGTGGGACGAGGGGCAGAAGGCCGTGTCAGCCAGCGCTGACGTCCGGACCCACTTGGTGGCATCGCCTGCCAGCTTGTGTTGACTTTTCTGCCCCAGGACTGCCCCTTTTGATAAAGTTCAGGCTTTTCATTTGGATGACTCCATGGCTTTCTTGATGGGCTTTCTGGAACTAGACCAGCATTATCCAAAAGAATTAGACTGTGAGTCACACGTGGCTTTTAAGTGTCACGGGAGCTACATTTTAAAAGTCTTCACAGAAACAGGTGAGATTAAATGTGCTCATGAGATGACCTGGCCCGTGATACTCTAAATGTTATTTCAACATGGAATTCATTTTAAGGAGATTATTCAGGTGATGTTTTTTTTTTTGGCTACGTCTTTGAAATTGTATTTTTTGGTTCCGGGATGACTTGGAACAGCTCCATTTCAGGCACTCAGTGGTGGTGTGGTACATTGATAAAGGGCTTCTGGGTTTGGATTTTTTTTTTTTTTTTTGTCTTTTTCCTTTTTATCGGTACCAGGGATCGAACTCACGACTGCCTGCTTTCAAGGCAGGAGCTTATGCCTAAACCCCCAGCCCCCTGAGTTTGGATTTTGACCCTTTCTGCTTCCCGTTGAACTCCCGCTGGCTGGCTGTTGCTTGTCGCGGGTCGCAGATCTAATGAGGTCAATGATGGTGTAAAAATGAGCCCTTCTTTCCTAGAAAGAATGGCGCCATCACCAAGAACTCAAGTTTTCACAAGTGTCAGTGAGGCGGAGGAGGAAAAGGATGCCTTCTCCACTGTCAGTGGGAGTGCAGACTGGTGTAGCCACTGAGGACATCAGTGTGGAGACTCCTCAAAAGACTACAACTAGAAAGTCCATTTGGCTCAGCTATTCTCTTTCTAGATATCTTCCCCACAGAGTTAAAGTCATTATGGCGATCCATGCATACCCATGTTGATAACTGCACAATCCGTAGCAGCTAAATCTTGAATGAGGGCTGTATGTCCATCCACAGATGAGTGGATAAACAAAGTGTGGTCTTTACGCACAGTGGGGAGCTACTGTGCTGTGAACAAGGGTAAACCTGAGTCCCTTGTGGGAAAGTGGATGCCCCTTGGGACCATAATGTTCAGTGAAAAAAAGACACGCACGCTAACATACCGCGTGGTTTCTCTTAGATGAGAAACCTAAGATGTACACTAAAGAAACGGAGAGAGAGCTCCTTTGCAGATGGGGAGGGGACCAAGAGATGGAGGTAGGGGGCAGAAGGCGGGTGGAGGAGTAAAGGAATCAGATGTGTACCTGGATCAAGTCTCCATGACGAATGCAATCATGATGTGCTGCAAAAGTGTCTGAGCAAAAATGAAAGAGTCCAAAATAAGCCCTTCAAGGGTTGCCTGGCCCTGTTTTTCCTGAGGAAGAGTGTGCATGGGGAACCCCCTGGGGCCAGGTCTCTCCTCTTTTGTCCTGAATGACCCTCTCTGCAAGCCCATTTCCAGCTCTGTTTGCCGCCTGCACCTCAGCCCAGGTTCACTGTGTTCATGCCCAGCAGGAGGCTGGGCCTGGGGTGGTCAGCCCGGGTGGGCGCGGCCTCTGCGGGTGACGAGGGTCCGGTGCGTTTCCGCAGGAACTACTCGTTCTACGCCTTGGACAACCAGAACCTGAGGCAGCTGTGGGACTGGAGTAAGCACAACCTCACCATCACGCAGGGGAAGCTGTTCTTCCACTACAACCCCAAGCTCTGCCTGTCCGAGATTCACAAGATGGAAGAGGTCTCGGGGACCAAGGGCCGCCAGGAGAGGAATGACATCGCACTCAAGACCAACGGGGACCAGGCGTCCTGTAAGCCGTGCAGCCGGCTCGGCCCACGCTGGGCCCCTGGGCTGTCACCGTCTCCCGGGGCGACAGCCCCTTCCCTCAGGTTTCCTGCAGCTGTCTGAGGAGGGGGCGGGTCCTGCTCAGCCAGGCCGGGTGGAGGCTGAGGGGACAGGCGCCCCGGGGGTCTCAGCTCCTGCAGGCAGCGGGTGGCACAGGGCATGACCCGGGCAGGGAGAACGAGCTGCATCCGCGCAGTTTGATCAGAGTCACCGGCACTGGTGAGTTACATCTGCCAGGCCAGGCCTGCAGGAGCACAGGGACCTGGACAGAGGCCATCCGGAAGGTCCCTTCTCAGTGATGACAGGCTGGGTGCCTCTGTTGTCTGTCCGTCTATCATGTGGGGAGCAGCGGGTCCCCTCTGCCTCTGCACAGCGCCTCCAGGAATATGGGGAAGTTGCTTGTGATGGAAGCGCGTTGTTCAATGCTGCCTGACCTTGACATTTTTGTATGTGTGTGACTTTCTAGGTGAAAATGAATTACTCAAATTCTCTTTCATCCGTACATCTTCTGACAAGATCTTGCTGAGATGGGAGCCCTACTGGCCGCCTGACTTCAGGGACCTCCTTGGATTCATGCTTTTCTACAAAGAGGCGTAAGCAGGGGAGGAAATCGTCGGAGAGGATGGGGAGGATGGGGGGAGGGTGCTCAGTCTCCCCTGGGGTTTGCCTCCATTACCCTCCTCTCCGGGGAGGAAGGCAAATATCACAAGTTCCTCTTCCCATCACCAGTCCATGGCCTACAATATCCACAGTGATCTGTTTTGCCAAAAGAAATCCAAGCACTTAGTTTTCCTTTTGGAGGTCATTTTAAATTTTATTTTAAAATCTATTTATTTAGTTCATTAATTTCAGAATTTATTTGCTGTGTCGTTTAGTCTGGCCTTGAACTCCTGGGCCCAAGTGGTCCTCCTGCCCAGCCTCTCAAGCTACTGGGATTACAGGTGTCCACACACACCACATCCAGCTTTTCAGGGAGGTGGTGGGGGTAACCCTAGTGGTAATATTAATAAAAATTTCATCTCTCTATGTGCATCAAGGGCCAGAGCTCTAGCACACACACAGTCTCTTCTGTAATCGCTCCTAGCAATAAAGCTTGAGGTGGTTGCCAGCATTCGACGTGTTCCCGTAGATCACAGAGATGTTGCCCACAGCCAGCCCTCCAAACACCCTCCCCATCCTCCCAGGATGCTGTGCTCTCTGCTGTCGCTGCTCAGTGCCTTGGGTACCGCAGTGCGCATTGCTGTCTCAGAGAAGATTAGAATTGAAACTTGGTTTCTGGCTCCTACTCAAATGCCTCGCAGTGCTGTGCCACTGTAAGGCTGAAATCCTGAGTGTGGAGCCTTTGGGAGCTGGGGACAGTCCTTACTCCTGCATCATGGAGACGTCTGGATTGCCAGCCTTCTCCATGGCTGTCTCCCTGGCATTTGTTCCTGTGGTATAAGACTTGGGTAATCAGGCAGCAGATCTACGGGATACAGCTTTCCCTGGCCCCATCTCCACGGTGCTCAGGGCAACTGTCACCTCCTTGTAACCACCTTCCCCTCTTTCTGTCCCCAAAGCCCATATCAGAACGTGACCGAGTTCGACGGGCAGGACGCGTGCGGCTCCAATAGCTGGACCGTGGTGGACATTGACCCACCCTTGAGATCCAATGACCCCAAGTCCCAGAACCACCCTGGGTGGCTGATGAGGGGTCTCAAGCCCTGGACCCAGTACGCCATCTTTGTCAAGACCTTGGTCACCTTTTCTGACGAGCGTCGGACCTACGGGGCCAAGAGTGACATCATCTATGTGCAGACGGATGCCACCAGTACGTAGCTCGTGTGTGTCTCAATTTGCTCTCGAGGCCGATAGCCTGGCTTCCATAGGTGGTGCTGAGCCGTGCTGTGCCGCCCCAGTTTGTGTGGTCACTGGCTTCTCAAGGACTCAGGGACGGTGGGTGTGGGGGTGCAGCCCTCAGTCCCGGTACTGGGGAGGCTGAGGCAGGAGGGTGCTCGCAAGTTTGAGACCAGTCTGGGCTACATAGTGAGCTCAAGGCCACCCTGAACTGCATAATGAGACCCTGTCTCGACAATCTGAAACCAGAACAAACAAGGACCAAGCTCTTATGGTGCGTAATATATAGATTAAGCTTTATTGCAGCAGAGTGCAGGGAAAAACAGGCCGCCGGGCTCACTGTGATTGTGCTGTGCTCTTCCCAGCTGTTACACAAAGTTTCCAGACATTCATGAAGGAGAAAGAGAAGTAACTCCGCACGACTCTCCTGGCTTCCGCATTTTCCCGAGTTTGCTTTTTCCCTGCTTTCCTTTTAACCTACATGTTTTGGGGGTGAGGCCCGGGTGTCCCAGTTTAGTGGCATTGCCCACAAAGCTCAGTCCTGCTGTAGCGGTAATTCCCAGGTAGGACATTTCTGCTTCCTCAGTAGACTTTTGACAACTGTCCGGAGACTTTTCGGGGAGGTGGGACCCCTGGTGTTCAGTGAATGGGGGCCTGGGATGTGGACCAGCGCCCTGCAGTGTGCGTGGTGCCCCTCCGGGGACAAAGGTCTCTCCAGCTGCTGATGTCAAACTGCCCCCCAAGGGAGACCCCTGGCCTTGTGAGTCTGTCCCGGCTGTTGGGGTCTTGCAGCCTTACCCTGCCTTCTCCCAAGACACCAGGAGTCTTTGCAGCGCCCCAGCCTCCTGCTGGAAGGCGATGCTTTGTGGACCCCACAAACGGTGCATTTAGGGGATGTGGGTCCCAACTCAGCAGCACCATGCTGATCACGGACGGTGACTGGGCTCCTGGAGCAGGGAGCCCCAGGGGAAATGATTCCGTCACTCCCTTCCTGCTGGGCAGCATCTTCAGCTCCAGAGCAGAGAGGGCACTGCCAGGCAGTGGGCGCCCACCCTGCGGTCCGAATGGACACCTGGCTTTCTGCAACTTCCCGGCTTGGGTCACTGAGTCATTTCTTTTGCTGTCCACAGACCCGTCTGTTCCACTGGACCCCCTCTCCGTGTCTAACTCCTCGTCCCAGATCATTCTGAAGTGGAAGCCGCCCTCGGACCCCAACGGCAACATCACGCACTACCTGGTCTATTGGCAGAGGCAGGCGGAAGACAGCGAGTTGTACGAGCTGGATTACTGCCTCAAAGGTGAGGGGGACACGAGATGCACCAGCCCTAGTTTGCCCTACCTGGAGGGACTTTGCTCTCCCCCTCCCCTCCCCCTCCCTCCCTTCCCTTCCCCCCCTCTTTTTTTTTTGGTTGCAGAAGGTGCATCTCCCTTTCCTGTCACCCCTCTTTCTTTTCCTCCCCCAGCTGGTTTTTGCATGGTCCAGCGGTATTTTCAGTTGAGCGCCCACCCTCAGCCCCTGACCCTGCAGGCAAAGGTCCCTGGCTGGAGCGGAGGCCGAGGGCTGCTCTGGTGTGCCCCCGGGCCGGCCGCCTTGGCGTGGCTCCTTTCCAGGGGAAGGGCTGGAGGGCAGACGCGCTGTGCTGTGTCCCTGTGAGCGTCCCTGTGAGCGCACCGCACCGCGGCCAGCCGCCGTGAACGTGATTGGTCACCTCGGGAGCTGCAGCCAGGCCGAGCTGGCCGTGCTTTTCTGTTTTTGTTTTTGTTTTTGAATGGCTGCGCCTTTTCTTCTGCCTGCAAGTGTACACTGGTGTGATTATCTTAGAGTTTATGCGATTAAAAATGAAGTCACTGAGAATCACAGGGTGCCAGTCGCAGGGGGGCTGCGGGTGTCACAGCCATGGAGGCGGCAGGGAAGCGGCTTGGGGGCCTTGCAGGAGGACGGAGGTTCCCTGAGGGGACGAGCAAGGCCTGTGGGTGGGCGGTGGGGGGAGTTTCTGACCACACGGATACAGGCAAGGACGTTAAACTGTGCAGGGAAAAGTGGTTTAAAAGGTAACTTTTAAAAGTGTTTATATTGATTGCTTTTTATTGGTACACATTTGTGGTACCTGATGACCACACTCACCATGGGGGATTGGCACACTTCAATTCCCCTCTTTCCTTACACCCCCTTTTATTTTTCCTGAATCAGGTTCACTTATTTGTTTTATAAAACCTTATAAAGTAATTATTGCTGGGCCTGGTGGCACATGCCTGTCATCCCAGCACTAGGGTAGCTGAGGCAGGAGGATCCCAGCCTGGGCTACATAGTGAGTTGAAGGCCAGCCTGAATTGCATAGTGAGACCCTGTCTCAAAAAGACCAAATAAAACAAAACACCAAAAAGGTTAATTATCACACATACAGTTTAAAAATCAGACTAATAGGTCAAAGAACGTACAAAACATATAAGACAATTATACCAAATCAAGGTACACTTTCAGATACATTGCCTGCACTGAATAACTTTTTTCTCTTTTTCCTATTATTTGTCATATATATAAACATATACATATAACATACAATAACATATAAACATATACAATGTTTTTCAAATAAGAGAAACCATGTGATATTTATGTGTGTCTGATTTACTTCATTTGATGTTAGGGTCTCAAGGTGCACCGTTCTCCCACAAATGACTCAAGCTTATCCTTCTTTTTGACTGAGTAGTACTCCACCACGTATAAACACATTTTCTTTATGTATTCTTCTGTTGGTGGACCTATAGGCAGATAATAGTTTTTGGAGCATTGCTGTGTGATTTCCATATTGGTTGTGCCAATTTACACTCCTACCATCAATGAAAGAGGGTTCCTCTCTCCCCACAGCCTCTCCAGCATTTGTTACTGGTTTCATGCCGGTATCCATTCTTTCTGGCTGAGAGGGTAAAAACTCAGCATAGCCTGGAGTGAGTGGGAATTGAGCCCCGGTGCTGCTCCTGTGCCCAGCCCCTTGCTTCTTGGGGAGACTAGAGCCCCTGCTGTGCCTTCCCCAGGGCTGAAGCTGCCCTCCAGGGCGTGGTCGCCGCCGTTGGAGTCCGATGATGCCCAGAAGCACAACCAGAGCGAGTACGAGGATGCGGCCGGCGAGTGCTGCTCCTGCCCCAAGACCGACTCTCAGATCCTGAAGGAGCTGGAGGAGTCCTCCTTCCGCAAGACCTTCGAGGATTACCTGCACAACGTGGTCTTCGTGCCCAGGTCAGCACTCCAGGTGACCCTGGGTGTGTGTCGGGGCTGTTCCTTAGGGCAGGGTGAGGGGTGGCCAGCGCTGGGCTGGGCCCTTCCCGGGCACCGAGCAAGACGTGGTCAGTGCCAGTGATCACCCAGGAGGGGAAATTTACAGAAGCAACGTTCGCCTTCTTCACCTGCCTTCCGGTCTCCTCCATCCAAGTGAGCTCAGAAACAAACCCACGAGGTAGACTGTTGGGCAGATCCTGAGTAATGAGGTCCCCACCTCAGCCTTGGCTTGTTTCTAAGTCTCTGTTTCAACCTCAGTTTTCATTGTCTGTCTCTCTCTCTCTCTATCTCACTGTCTGTCTGTCTTTAACTCTCTGTCTCTATCTGTCTTTCTGTGTCTGTCTCTGTCAATATCTCTCTATCTCTGTCAATCTCTCGGTCTCCTTGTGTCTGTCTCTCTGTCTGTCTGTCAATATCTCTCTGTCTCTCTCTGTCTTTCTGTCATTAACTCCACACAAGCTGCTTCTCAGCCTTCTAGAACCTTCCATCACATCACAGCCCAGAAGCTTCTCCTATTTATAGAGTGTGAGTTTCTCTGGGCCACCACAGCCCATGGTCAGGTACATCTGCTTCACACACCTCGCAGTGAACATTATCTACACGACACTTAGCCGAAGAGCACATGCCTGTGTCACTGCTTTTCTTTTTTAAATTTTTTGCCTGAGTTGGGTGGAAAGTGGAAGCAGACGTTTGTGGGTACAGGGAATCTGGGTCCTTTCTCCCCGTGCATATTTCTCTGCATTCCTCCTGGTGGAGGGGCTGAGTGCCAGGGCCCTTGGGAGCAGGAATAAATGATGCTCACTGCCTGGGTCCCCTGCTTTTCTATACCCTGCCTTGAGCAGGTTTTTTTCACTTCTCTGTGCCTCAGTTTCCTTATCTGTAAAATGGACATTTTAATGCTGTCCCTCAGTAGATATGGGAGATGACTTCTAAGACCCCGAGGGTACCAACATAGCCGTGTGCAGCCCTGGTGTGGTATTTGTGCAGAGTCTACATAACTTTCCCACACACCAGCTCACCTCTCGACCTGCGGTCCCCAGGATAACAGGAGTGCTGTCTGGATGGTCGGTCTGCCCACCACGTACGGAAGAATGACAAGGAAAAGTCTGTGCGCATTCAGCACAGGGGTGATAGTTTTCCTGCAGTACTCAGTCCCCACAGTTGGTTGAACCCATGGGCGTGGAACCGTGCACAGGTGAGGCCTGCTGTCCTCATTCCTGTGTCAGGGCATGGGGTGCCGTGTGGCACACAGGGATTCTCGTCCTTGGCCCTGCAGGTCACGCATGCTGCTGAGGAGCCCTTGTGTCCTGGGGTGCTCAGTGCCATCTTGTTTGTGGCCGCAGGGTTCCGGTCACTCATCCTCACCCTGCCCTGCCCTGTGTGTTCACCAGCGCTGCCACTCTGAGCAGCTGTTTCCCAGAATCACCTGCAGGTTAATGTTTCTTTCTTTAAAAATTTTTTTTTTCTTTTCTTGCATTTTTCTCTTATGACCCTGAGTCCAGAAAAACATTTAGTCCACAGCCCGGGCACCAAGTGCTTACTGCGTTACTCATTAAGGCCAGCAGGCTGCTGCATGCGGGTTGTGATGTGGGAGGTCAGGTGTGACGTCCTAGGGTCACCCAGCGGGGTGAGCTGGGGAGCCTGTCCTCCGATTTCCTTGGGTGTCTCTTAATGAGTTGACAAGAAGCCAGCCAGTGAGAAGAGGTCCAGGGCAAGGTACACATATCAGTGCATTTGATGGTACTGTCAGGAAACACCCGAAGCTGGTGCTTTATGGAGAAAAGAGGTTCATAGTCATGGAGGCTGAGAGTCCAAGGTCAGGCAGCCCCATTCACCTGTGACCCGTTGGTGATGATGGGACCACTGGTGTCACAGCAGGACGAGTGTGAGAGGCTTCAGGAAGCCCAAGGAGACCGCTTCCCTTTCTCAGGGCCCCTGCCTCTTGAGCCTCATCCCTCTGAGGGGCACATTGAGGCCAATCCTGCAGTGCAGGGACCACCATGTGCAAACCAGAGGTGGGCTATGAGCCCCCAGACTCAGGGTGATCCCCCCAGAAGAATACACTGTCCTCAAAGTGGCCGATTTTGTTTTCACAGAAAGCCCTCTGTGGGCAGCGGTGCCCAGGACCCTCGGGGGACACCTGTGTGGCTCCCTGGCTGTTTGATGCAGGGCTGGCAGGCAGAGTGGGGTGCGGCCCTGTGGGGGCCTCAGAGATCTCGGGGGGTTTCTGTGGCTTTTACATGCAGCAAAGGGGTGCCATCAGGCTGAGCTCTGATGCCTCACAGATTCACCCATGAAACTTCTTCCCCTGGGGATGGAATCTTGGGCATGAATGTGGAGGAAATTGAATGCACTCTTCCTAAAAGTGACTCAAAGGAGTGCTTTCAGGGTCCTACCTGTGTGCCTCAGTTTCCCCCCATGCATTTACTCCCTGGACATTCCCAGTTATCCCTTGGCCATGGGGCTAATGTCTAGAATACACAGAAAAACTCAAAAAACATTAAAGGCCCCCCAAATAAAGGAGCCAATCAAAACACGGGCAACTGAAATCAATAGACACTTCTCAGAAGTACAAGTGGCCAATACATATATGGAAAAAATGCTCAACGCCACTGGCAGTTAGAGAAATGCAAATGTGGATGAAATCTTGGTAGGAATAACAAGCAAGACTGGAAAGATGGGTTAGGGGCATGGAGAAGAATTTTCTTTTAGCCCCAAATTTTTATTCGTTGACTGATTTGTATGGCTTGTTCTGCCCTCTAGTGGCCATGTGGAATATAATCTATAGTCTAGAAAGGACCAGAATTTTGTGGTTTTGATCTTAAACAGAATGTCTCAGTCTCATCCTTATTGATATTCGGGGCTAGGTCGTTCTCTGGGGTACTTTAGAATACTGAGCAGCACCTCTGGCCTCCATTCCATACCAGGACTGCAAACTCCCGCCCCTCCAAGTAGCGACAGCCAAAAATACCTCCAGATATTGTCAGCTGTCCCTCCTGGGTGGGGGCATTGCCACCCTGGTTGGGGCCACTGTCAGTGTGAGCTGTTGGAGAATCACGTGCTGTGTGTGTAGGGGTGGAGGACTTTGTGGCAGGTCCCGTGCCTTGGTCCTTCTTGGGGATAATCCTCTAGACATTCAGGCGTGCCTGGGAGGTGCCTCAAGTTCTGTTCCAAACAAGTCACACAAAATTTTTGGTTTCCCAGTGCACATAAAAATTACACTGACCTTACGCTCTGTTAAGCATGCAGTAGCGTTATGTCTTCACAAAAGTGCTTTAGCTAAATAGTAGCTTAATTTAAAAATTCTTTATTGCTAAACAGTGCTAAGGATCATCTGGACTTATAGACAAACGGTACCAAAATGTGCTCAATGTGGTAAAGCCAGTAAAATGCAGCCAGTTTGGTGAGGTCATTTGATGCATGTAAGTGTCCGGATACAAATTTCTCAGGGCTATTTGTGAGTCACAAGCTCACACAAAGTGGCTATGTTTGCCAGGCTCATTTATGTCTGTACTGAAATGTTTAGAATCCTATAAAGCACATATCTCGGTCTTGACAAATACCCAAATACAGCCATTTTCTTCCCTTGATCCAAGAGTGCTTTTTTTCTTAATGTGAGCACATCACACAGAAAATCTTACTGAGTCACTTCCAAAGGGAGATCATTTTCTGACAACACGTTTTTTGACTCTAAAAGCAAAAGTTAACTTCAGAAGTTTGAAGAGAAAACCAAGTTAACCACTTCTGCATGGATTGAGTCAAAACAGAAATTGAAACTTCCGCTGAGGTCCTTTTGGAAAGTAATAAACGTGTGAGTCTCATGTATCTTAAGTCCCTGAATATTGCCAAACATAACTCTAATGCAAATGAGTAGCTATAAGTGGATTCGTGAATTAAAAAAATGAATTTATGACAGTTTAGAAATATAAAAATAGGGCTGTGAGCACAGCTCAGTGATAGAATGCATGCACAGAGCTCTGAGATTCACCCCCAGCGCTACCCTCCCAAAAGAATAATTCAATAAAACAAAATGCAAATGTATTAGGGAAAAAATCAGTATTAAGTAAGGCAATGGCAAACAGTATCAAAGAGGAAGTATGTGTAACTAAAGAAGGTGATATAAAAATAGGATCTGAAGGAAATTTTGAGTTTTGAAACTTTCAGTGGGTTAGGAAATTTTAGCGTGTCTACATTGACTCAAGATGGCACAGTAGAATTGAAGTTAATAACTTGGAAGATGTTAAGATGTGAGTCAGCTCATTTCCTCAGAAAGACCCCAGGTATAGAGATTATTATAGGTGAATTCTTTCAAAATGCACGAGCAACCATTACCTCTACCAAAGAATCCTCTGCAGAGCATGAAAATCTGTGAAAACCAGGCCAATTCCGCTTAAAAACCAAAATAACATTTCTAGCTGTGGAACAAGATAAAGATTCTACACTAAAGGAAGGTTATAGGCCACACTCATCTGTGCCTTTAGATTGGAATGTCCTGGATAAAACAGGAAAATATCAGTATGGTTTTATCCTAGAAATGCAGGGATAGTTTAAGAAGATATGATAATATAATCTATTTTTATCAAAAATTACATTATCCTGTAACATATAATGTAAAATTCTTAGACAAAGGGAGGAGACAAAAAGAGTCCTCTTACAAAAGTAGGGATAGAACATTACTTCAACAAGGTAGGTTTGTCTAAGAGCCATGCAAACATAATTCTTAAAATGATCTTCTTTAAAGCTGGAAATGACACAGGGAAGTCTAACGTCATCATTGCTATTGAGCATTTCTCCAGACGTCTGGTCAATACAGTCAGACAGGCAGCATAGTAGAACTGTAAGGCACGGGGCTTGAGTGGCAGGGCCAAGGCTCAGTGGTGGCGCTTAGCTTGCATGAAGTCCCGGATTCCATCCCCAGCACCACAAAAGCAGACAAACACGGGAAATAAAACCACTGGCGTGTGCAGACCCGTGCAGCACGAGGCTGTATAGCCTGTGGCCCATGGGTCGTGGGCTGCCTGTTTTTGTAAAGGAACTGTTATCGGAATGCAGCCACACCCACTGGCTGTGCCTTATCTCCAGCTCTGGCAGTTAGAGCAGCAACCACCAGCTGTGGGTTGGTGTGGCCTGCAAAACCCTTGACTGTACTCCAGCTGTGCACGGCAAGGTACTCGGGACCTGCCTTCCAGTGCATTCTGAGGAGCCTGACCCCAAAACCTTTAGAACGAGCGAGCCCTTGGGGAAAGTAGGCATGCTGTAGATGAATCCACAGGCAGCAGGATAAACCAGCAGTTGTGAGACTGTACGATGCAGAGAGGGTCCTTTTCACAAGACCTCAGCACAGTGTGTGACAAGGCCACATCGAGTTACCTGCAAAGGGCAGCAAACAGGGTCTTTACTGATGGTGATGTTTTGCAAATGCATGTGAAGGAGTGTGTTCTGAATCATTTAAAGGAAGTTCACCTGCAAATAGTAAACAGGGGTAAATTGTGCTACGTACTGGATAAATATCCTTAATATCCTCATACTATATATAAGATCCAGATGTCTACATGACTTTAGCTGTAACTGGCTGGGGATGAATTTTGGGGGCTTAGCAGGGGCAAAGCAATAGACATTTGTGGGAAAAACAGGACAGAGATCCCAGGACATGCCTGTAATCCCAGCACTCTGGGAGGCTGAGGCAGGAGGATCTAAGTGTGAGCCCAGCCCTGGGAACTTAGTGACTCAGAGATACCCTGTCTTAAAGTAAAAAATAAAGAGGGCCAGGGATGCAGCTCAGTGTAGAGGCCTGGGCCCCATTACCATTAAATAGAAAGGAAATATTTAATGTATGCTTCCCACCCACCCAGTGGGCCATGCAACTGGCCCGATCCTTATCTCTACATCCAATAATTGTAGAAAAAAAGATATCCACAGTCAGCAGTGGGCAGTGGAATTACGAGGGATTTTAATTTTCTTCCTTATACTTTTTTGTTTTGTTTTTTGTGTTTGTAACTGTACTGGTTGTTGGTCTTTATTTTGCAGTGTCTGTCTTAAGGAGGGGGTCGGGTGAATGGGCCGGGTTGGATAGATGGCACTTGGAATTGCCTGTACTTTTCCCAGTGATAAGATTTGTTTACCAGGAGTTGGACTCCATTCCTGTAATTCTGGAGCTCCCCACTGGCCAAAAGAGAAAACTGCTCCCCCTTCCAGTTGATGATGTCAGTCCATGGTTTGGGGTGGGGGCGAGTACTCCTTGGCGGGCTTTCCTGAAAAGCTAGAGGCTCCGAGCTTTTGGCATCTTTATTTTTAAACGCTGATTCTGGCGGCCTACTTCTCTGCACCCTAAAAATCCGCAGTGGAGTTTGTGGAGGGCGTGTTGGGGCACAGCTGCTGCCCGTGACCTCGGATCCCCAGCTCTGTCCCCTCCCCAGGCACAGCGGAGGGCGTAGTGGGCATCTCTGTGCGCGTCCCTGGCTTGGTTTTCCCTTAAGCCCCGTCGCTGTGGGCCAGCGATGACCTGACCACAAGGGTCCTCTTGTCATTCCAGGCCCTCCCGGAAACGCAGGTCCCTTGGCGAGGTGGCGAACGGGACCGCATTGGTGCCCACGGCACCCAGCTTCCCTGGCGTCTCCACCCCCAGCGTGCCCGGCAGCCAGGAGGAGCCCAGGCCCTTCGAGAAGGTGGTGAACAAGGAGTCGCTGGTCATCTCGGGCCTGCGCCACTTCACCGGCTATCGCATTGAGCTGCAGGCCTGCAACCAGGGCGCCCCGGAGGAGAGGTGCAGTGTGGCCGCCTACGTCAGCGCCCGGACCATGCCTGAAGGTGCGCAGCCTCCTGGGGCGGGCGCCCAGAGGCAGGGACCACCTGGCCGAGCACAGGCCCACATGTGGCCTTCAGGGTCTCTAGCAGTCCTCCTGCCTCAGCCTCCGGAGCCGTGGGAATGCGCCACCACATCCAGCGTGGCGGGTTTTTGCTTTTAATAAGAGTCATGCATAAATGTTATACAGAGTTTAGAGATATCATACCAGCAATGAGCAAAATCAGCAGACTCAAGATATATATCTGTAGTGTATCAGGGTGTGCAGGGGACAGAGATGAACTCTGTGTGTGTGTGTGTGTGTGTGTGTGTGTGTCTGTGTTTCTATGAGTGTGATTACTCGGGGAGAAGGAGGGAGAGCAGAGAAGAAATGGAGATGGCTGGAGAGAAAGGAGATGGAGAAAGAAGACAAGAATAAAAAGAACTGAGACAAGGAGGGAGGAAGAAAATCAGGGAGGGAGGCAGAGAGGGAGAGACACAGAGACTGAGGCAGAGAGACAGACAGACAGAGAGGGAGAGACAGAAACAGAGGCAGGGAGACAGAGACAGACAGACAGGCCGCCTTGAACTTTTTTCTCCACTCGGTGGGCTTCGTTGCATGGCCCTCAGCTTTGCCGAATCCACCACCTTAGATCTTAATCTCCTCCTGAGAGAAAGCAGCTCCATAGAAACATCAAGAATAAACTTAGGCCCAGTGACTGGGCCCCTCGGCTCAGCCAAGCCGACGCATAACGTTAGAAGTAGAGAAGAAAGATAAAAAATCCACTCCCAGTGGCCGAGAGGACTCCGATCAGCTCTCGTGCATCCTCTCCGAGTTTTACTGACTCAGAAGGACGAGTGTGCACAAATAGATTTTGCACATTTTTGTTTCAAGTTTTAGACAGTGTAGGAAAAACACATAGCCTGAAAGACATATTCACGATGGTGAATGTGGGTGTCACTCATCACCCACCGCGGCCCTGCGTGCCCACAACAGGCTGTCGGTACATATCAGGGAACTAATTACTATGGGTTCTTCAAAACTACTTTCATTGAATTTTAATTTACCTGTAACTAAATGTGTAGATTCTAGGCATATGGGAAACTCAGTAGTTGATACTGATTTCCTGATTTAAGCATGAAATGCCGAGATGGTGAACCATGTCTGCAAATCCCAAGCAAAACCCTATTTTCATGTGCGCTTTTCTCCTACGTGGTTAAAAATAAGCCTTGCATAAGCTGAAAAGAATTATAGGTGTACTATAGACCGACGGGGCTCATTCGAGGTCTACAGGAGGATGTGTGTAGGTTCTGTGCAAACACAGCATCACTGGATGACAGAGACTTGCACCTCTGTAGATCTTTTCTTCCCAAGCTTCCTGTCTGTCCATCTCCCAGAAAACAATGGGCTGTGGAAACTTACAAAGCAGCCGAGGGTCCCTCAGGTGTTGGGGGCGGATGTGGGATTTGATGCGAGAGTTATACCCCTGACTGCTGCCTTTACAGCCAAGGCGGATGACATCGTCGGCCCTGTGGCCCACGAAATCTTTGACAACAATGTTGTTCACTTGATGTGGCAAGAACCGAAGGAGCCCAACGGCCTGATCGTGCTGTACGAAGTGAGCTATCGGCGCTACGGGGAAGAGGTAAGCACCCCGACTCTCAGTCACGAGCCTTCGAAGTTGTCCTTGTGATCGCCTTCATCTGCTTTGGTCCTGGGCCCCAAACCTCCCTCCTTGAAAGCTTTCAGGGAGATGGATCACAAACACTGCCCCACAAACTCTTCTTTCCTAAATTGTTCATCTTGCTTTTCCTTCTGGATACCAGGAATGGAATGCAGGACCTTGTGCCTGCCGGGCAGGCGCTATGCCACTGAGCTGTGCCCACATTGCTCTGTGTCTGTACCCTCCAGCCTGAGTGATGGCAACCCGGGTTTCCATCTCTTTTGAGCAGACCACAGACTCAGTTCATCTTACAGATGTATTTGGTTACCTTTATGGGGAATTTGTGACCAGAATCTTGGCAAGAATTAAACTCATGAACCAAGGCACCACTGTATTTGCCACAGGGACTCGGGATTCGTTTATGCTGCTTGCATCTTAGTGCTGTTTGCAGTGAGCCCAGCAGTGCAGGCTGGTCTATGTTTGCAGTGGAGCCAGAACTCATCTCCTTGAGGGATGTACTCTGAGTCCAGACCCTGAGTGAGGCCTGGAATAGCAGCTCCTAGCAACCCTACGTATATTGTGTGTGATTTTCCCCCTACATACATACCTGTGATGAAGTTTAACATGTACTTTAAGCATAGCAAGAGGTTAAAAACTATGATTAATAATAAAATAGAACAATTATATAGTGCAAGGTATTTAAAGCCATTGCACTGTTTATTTTCGAAATCTTCCATTTAATATTTTGGGTGACTGTTGTGTATTTTATTGAATGGTAAAGAATTCGCTCTACCGCTGGGTAGAAGGTATGTGTTTTTCTTTTTTTTCTTTTTTGGCCAGCAGCATACACTCCTGCCTCCAGCTGTCAGAGTCTGTGGAGCTCCTCACTCCTGAATCATTGTGTTGCAATCATTTATCCCCGTCTGTTTCCCCTGCCTCTCAGTTGGGTGCCCTGTCCCCAGGGACCCCCTTCTCCTGGGACAGAACATCAGTCGTGTGTGTGAGTGTGTGTGTGTGTGTGTTTCTGTGTGTGCTCACATCCTGTGTACCACTGAAGGTTTGCATCTCTTCCTTCTGTTTGCATGAACTTTTTATGCAACTGACCTCTTCTTCACCTTCGAACAGGTTTCGGTTCCCGCTGTGCTTCATGTTTTTAATTTTTACTTTGTGCTCTCTAGAGAGCACACTTTGTCCTCTTCTGGAGCTTTCCACCGAGCTCCCTCACTCTCCAGCCTGCAGGCTGTCCAGGGTGCAGGACCCGTCAGAGAGCCGCTCTCTTTGATTTCTGTATTTGCTTGTTTGTTACTTCCCGCCTGGTGACTCACTCGACTTGGAAGAAACTTTGGACCCGAGCTCCCCGCCCCCACCCCGCTGAGGCTGTCAGGCTGATTTGTTTTCTTGCGATTATTGTCACAAGATAAGCACAGGAGTTTTTACATATCTTTTTCTGCCCCGCCCTCCTCCTGCCCTCCTCCCCCTAAACTTTTCCAGCCCAGTTCTCTGCACGCACTGTTAGCTTTGGAGCTGTTTTGGAAAGTTTTCTAAGTTTTGGTCTAATGTTCTCGGGTCCGCCTGACTGGCTGCCCAGCGAGCCTCCTGCCTCTCTTCCTGAGTTCCCAGTTGACCTGAGTGACACGCTTCTTGTGGGCTGTGCGCCCCACTTTATTGATCTGCCATTCTGACAGGGATCCAGGCGGATCCCAGTTCTGTTTATGGTGATGAAAAAAAGTCCAAAGGCAACACCTCGGGCAGGAAAGAGCTTTTGCTTTGTCCTTTGACGGTAAACCTTGGATCTGTGTGGTTTGGATGAGGCCGGGACACTGGGAGATGTGGAAAGGCGGAAGGGACTCAGCCCCTGAGGGTTCCCTTATTCCTGCTGGTCTCTGGCTTTGCAAGAGGCCTGGCTAAAATGTCCTGCATGGGCTGGTTCTCAAGGAGAGGTTTGCAAGCCAGGCAGGTCTGAGTTCAAGTGCTGCCCAGCTGTGGGATCTTAGAGAAATCATCAAATATACTGAGCCAAGAGTCACCTGGTGGGCGACTCTGTCCTGTGGGCTACAAATTGTTCCCTTTGGCTCCTTTCTTTCTCTCCCCCACCACCCTTCCTTCCTTCCTTCCTTCCATCCTTCCATCCTTCCATCCATCCTTTCTTCCTTCCTTCCTTCCTTCCTTCCTTCCTTCCTTCCTTCTCTCTCTCTCTCTCTCTCTCTCTCTCTCTCTCTGTCTCTCTCTCTCTCTCTCTCTCTGTCCCTCCCTCCTTCCTTCCTCTCTCCTCTTTCAGAGTACTGAGGATTGAACTGAGCTATATCCCCAGCTCCTCATTTTATTCTTTGAGACAGCATCTTACTAAGTTACCAAGGCTGGGCTTCAATTTGAGATCTTCCTCAGTCTCCCGGAGTGCGGGGATCACAGGCATGCACTACCACACCCACAGGCCTGCCTGTTTTCTGACAGCTGGTGAGATTCCGATCTCTTTTATATTTAAAAAGAAAAATAAGAAGAGCTGCCAAGATAGAGTTAGACAGGGAGAAAAAGTTCTGGGTATCTATTGCGCTGAATGATGATGATAGTTAATAATACATATTTGAAAATTGCTAAAAGCAGAGGTTTTAGGAGTTGGGTATGGTAGTACAATGTTGTAATCCCAACTTTTGGGAGGCTGAGGCAGGAGGGTCTACATGAGTTTGGGACCAGCCTGGTGAGACCCTGTTTCAAAAAACCAACCCCCTTCCAAGAGTAGCTTGTAGGTAGGGAGTAGGGAGAGAGGGGGAACTTTGATATTAAGCACTGTATTAGTTTGATAGATGGCTAAGTTCTGGTGTTCTATAGCATAGTTTAGCACAATTTACTGCGTGGTTTAATAGAGAACTAGAGAAGAGGGGCCGCAAGGTTCCTACCAGGGGGAAATGATCCATGTGGAAGGCGATGAAATGCCGGCTGCTTCAGCTTGGCTGTTACACATCGTATCCACGCAAGGGGGTTACCACCTTGGGCTCATAAATGTGCACAGCTGTTACATGTCAAACAAAAATACTTGAAAATTAAGCTAGAAAAGAATACATTCCAGGGCTGAGGATACAGGGCAGCGCCTGCCGGGCAAGTGTGGGGTCCTGAGATCGATTCCCGGTACCCCCCAAATACATTCTGAATGTCCCCCCTGCAAAGAAGTGACAAGGACGAGAGATGCCGCCCGTGTCCCTTTACCTGCGGTCATCACTGTGCAGAGCATGTGTGCGTCACAGTGTCCCGTGCTGCCTGTAGGCACGTGCTGCTGTGCTTCATCTGCTCAAAGTGAAATCTAAGCATTTAAAAACAATGTTCCATGACACTGCACAGAGTTGAGATTTTTTGTGTCCGTGGAGTATTCTTGGCACCCAGTCATGCCTGTTGTTTATGGAGGTTACAGATTGGACTTTGGCTATTTTTTAAAATGTATTTTTATTGGAATGTGTTTACTGCCAGTTACAGTCACATTGGGGAGCTGGTCCATATTCATATTGCATCTCAAACACTTCCTTTTCCTTTCCTTCCCTCCGCATCCCACGTCCCCTTCCCATTTCTACAAAGCCTGCTTTCTTGTTTCCAGTCATCTCTTTTATTTTTCTCTTCATTATTTATACTTTGGGTTTCACATATAAGAGAAACTTTGCAACATTTAAGTTTCTGTGTCTGATTTATTTCACATAACATTTTAGCCTCAAGGTACATCCATTTCTCCACAAATGACTCAAGTTTATCCTTCCTTATGGCTGAGTAGTACTCCATTGTGTATGTAGAACACATTATCTTTATCCATTCATTGACAGCATACAGGTCATTCCCAAAATTTAGCTATTGTGCTGCTACAAACATGGGTGCGCATGGATCCCTGTGACAAGATGTCTTTATTGTTTCTGGAAGCTATCTAGGCGAGGAAAGCTGGATCAAGGTGTGTCTTAGTTACTTTTTACTTGTTGCTGAGACAAAATACCTCAAGCCCAAGCTGGGAAAGGAAAGGTTTATTTCTTACAGTTTTTGGAGGTTTCAATCCACACTCAGTTGGCTCCAAGGCAGACCGGCATGGCTGGGCTGCAGTTGATGGTGGCTGCAAGCAGCCAGCAGGAACCAGCAAAGAGCAAGACACACCTTCTTCCTGCCATTGCTTCACATCCTGGCTCCACCCCTATGTGGGTGGAGCACTGACACCATCAATCCAAGCACTAGACATCACAAATGCACAATGCAAACTCATGAGGCCTGGGGGCCACAGATATAAACCTTGACAAGGTGGATTTCCTATTTTTAACTATTTGAGGTATCTCCATAGCGACCTGGCCGTCTACGAGGCAGGAGGTGTGGAAGTATTTACCACTGGGCCATGGGCAGCTATCTTGGCCAACACCCATCCCTGGCCCTGGTTTGCTCACCTATAAAATGAGGGCCACCAAAGCTGGGTACGGGTTCACTGTAAGATGGGACAGGTGACAGAGGCTTGGCTTCCGGCCTGGGGAAGTCTGTCGCTTGACTGTAGCTCGGTGACTTTGAGGTGCCCTGTGTTTCAGAGCCTGTGGGTGTCAGCCTGACCGGGTCACACTCCCTCCATGATGTCTCTGTCCCGGGTCCTGCCTGTTGCCACTGCCGCGTGGCACCAACACCTCCGGGTGTGCAGAGCTGAGCTCCTCTCTCCCCCACAGGAGATGCATCTGTGCGTGTCCCGCAAGCACTATGCCCTGGAGCGCGGCTGCAGGCTGCGAGGGCTGCAGCCCGGTAACTACAGCGTGCGCATCCGCGCCACCTCCCTGGCGGGAAACGGCTCCTGGACCGAGCCCACCTACTTCTACGTGACGAATTATTGTAAGTCTCCACAGCGGTTGCAAGGGGTTGCATCTGCGCTGGGCGCTGGGGGCCTGGTGGGACATTTGAGCCTGGACCCCGGGGAGCTGTGCGTGCTAGCCGGGCCTGGATTCCTGGGTCCCTGTGTGGCCTCGTGTGCAGTAGACAGGGTGTCTGACCTCCCGGGGATGCTGCACTTACTTTCTCCCCCGGGTCCGGGCTTGCTGTTGTCTCGGCCTCTGTGCTCTCAGACTGACCAAACCACAGTTCATGAGAGTTAGGGAAAAACCTCACACCTTTGCGGTTGTGCTGGGACTGCTCAGGAGTGTCCCCTAGGCGGTCCACGTGGGACCCTTCCCATAGCATCTCCATTGCCTTCTCCTCTTAAGTTCCCTGGGGGTGGGGTGAGTCACAATGTAAAGCAGCTGCAGGCAGGTTCTGTGTAAATGCTACGCCTTTACAGACCAGGACTGGGACATGTTTGGATCTGGTTGTCCGAGGGGTCCTAAAGCCACCAGGGCATAACTATATTTGAGGGAAATCACAGGACTCGTTTCAGGGTGGAGAGAGGTTTCAGTGATAGGATGTCAAGGGGCCGTTACGGGCACCTCTGATGGATATGTTGATGCCTGTTCCCGGTATCTCCATTTTTGTTTCATTCATTCATTCATTCATTCATTCATTCATTCACAGGACCTTTGCACTGAGCCACACCCCCAGCCCTTTATGTTAACTTTGAGATGAACTGTCGATAAATTGCTAAATTGCCCAGGCTGGGCTCTAATTTGTAATCTTTCTGCCTCAGATCTCAGAGCTCTGGGATTACAAGTGTGTACCAGCACTCCTGGGCCCACCTTTGTTAACAGAAGGACCATACCTTCTAAGGATCGGGGCAGAGCATACCTGCTCTATCTTGAGTGCAGCAAGCACCTGGAGCGGGAAGGTACCCCGTAGGGAGAGGTAGGGAGCAGGAGCTGGTTAGGGAACGCTTGCCTCCTGGAGGTGGCAGCCTCCTGGTCCAGACCTTGAAGAACGTTTGCATGGAGGCGTCAGAGGGATGTATGTTAAGCTCTTCACAGAGTAGGAACCCCGACATTCAAATGAGCAGTGACGTGAGGGAAGCTGGTAGGCCAGGAGGAGGAAGGGTCCTAAGTTGGGGTGAGGGGGAACTTCGGCTTCCTGGCTGCATTTTCCACTTCTATGCATGAAGAGAGGGCGGAAGCAGGAAGAAATTCTTGCTGGCCTGGTCTGGTTGGGGCCAGCACGGGGATGAATGCTCTGATACCAGCTGAGCACAGTGCACAAACCTAGTGCTCTCTACCGGGTGTTACCACCGAGCCCACCAGCTTGAGGGTGTGGTGACCACCAGCAAACCCGCCCTCGCTTCAGCCATTGAATTTGGGGTTCTCCAGCACGCCCTGCACTTCTGATGAACTGCTTACAAATTTGGGGTTTCTCATGACCTCTGGGAGTTGATAGTTGACTAGAATGACAAGATGCTATGATCCTAAAGGCAATTTTATGAAGGCCACTAGGTTAGCTGGGCATGGTGGTGGCCACCTGGAATCCCAGCACGCTGGGAGGCTGAGGCAGGAGAATCAGAAGTTCAAGCCCAGCCTGGGTAACTTAGTCTTGAAATAAAACATATTTTTAAAAGTAAGCTGGAGCTATAACTTTGCACAAAGGCTCAAGGTTCAAAACCTAGTACTTGGAAAAACAAAACCAACCCTCCCAAAAAACAAAACCCAGAGATGAAGACTCTGATCCTGGGAGAGTCCCCAATAATGCATTGCCACCAGGTCGACAGCACACTGAATTGGGGTCCATCCCGTGGCAGTGTGTTCTCCAACTGCATCTCCTCTGAGCTTTGGGGTACAGCACTTTTCTTGGGGTGGCCTAGGGTGGGGTGCGATTGATCCAGCTATCGTCCAGGGGACCGTACTCAATCTCCAGCTCCTCTCCTGTCTCTGGGAGTCAGGGAAGCTTGAAGTCTCCACCCCTCAGCCCCCCTCCTACACAAGGTCACCCCTTAGCACCCATGCAGGAGCGACCTAAGGGGCCCGTAAATAACAGACATCTCCCTTCTTTGAGCAATTCCAAGGGGCTGGCATCTCTCCCTGAGGATCCAGGGCCAAGTCCTTCACTGTGTGGAGAGGAGGCAAGTGTGTGGCAGAGCTCACTGGAGCTGCTCAGCAGGGTGGAGGAGGGATATAGGCATGTGGCCGACCAGACAGTCCCTGTTTCATGTGTGTCACTGGATCACCAAGCATTTACGTGCCATTTAGGGGGCTTCGGGGGCGGGGCAGGAGGAGGCAGTTTCTCTGTGCATCCAGGAGAGGAGCAGGGGGAGAGGCTTCTCAGGACACCGCCCCCTGCAGGCCAGGAGCAGCGTTAGTGAGAACTTGGGCTAGGACCTTGCTCCCCAACAAGCCTCCCTCCCTGATCTGGTAAGAGGAGCTTGTCTTACCTTTCCCTTCTTGGTGTGTGGAACAGCTGAGTAATGTCTGTGGTGAGCACTTGCAATGGTACCTGGTGTTAGTAAGTGTTCAGCGCATTGCTGTGTTGTTGTTATTACTGTTTTACTGTGGATTGGGGACTGAACCCAGAGCCTTTGCACTGAGAGCTACACCCCAGCCCTTTTTTGCTGTTTTTTTTTTTTTTTTTTTTTTTTTTTTTTTTTTTTTGAGTCTGGGTCTTGATGAGGCTGGTCTTGAATTTGTGACCCTCCTGTCCCAGCCTCTCAGAATGCACAGATGACAGGGACAGGGGGCCATGCCCGACAGCATACTGCTGTTCTGAGGAACGCAAAGGATGAGGTTCCTTCTGCAGTGTTCTAGAACTTGTTTTCTCCCTCGGCTCTGGGAAGTCTTAAGTGGACGAGCGTGGTCATAGTGATACACAACTGGACTTTGTGAATTTGAAAAAAATACTAAGACTCCAGATGATCTTTCTCCTGCTAGTTTTAAAGGGTCTCTGTGGGGGAGAGGGGATGCATTTTCCTTTATTTAACCTGGTATTTTCTTGGTAGCCAGGTGTGTTAGTCAGCTTTGCGTTACTGTATCTATACCTGAGGCAGTTCTTTTATAAAGAGGAGAGGTTTCGTGTGACTCAATATTAAAGGTTCCACCATGGGATGGTGTAGGTGTGTGTTGAGGGTGCTGAGCGCAGTGGAGGGGAGATAGAGGCCAAGCAGCTGCTCCCCTCATGGCCAGGAATCAGAAGAGAGTGAGAGAGGGAAGAGACCAGGCTCCCAGTGCGCCTTCAAGGGCCCAACTCAAAGCCTCAGAGACATCCCGCAGGCTCCTGCACTGCCCAATAACATGGCCCTGGGGACCAGGCCTTTAACTCAGGCCCTGAGGAACGTTCACTGTCTAACCTGGTGGCACAGGCCTTTCATCCCAGCACTCTGCGGGGCGGAGACAGGAGGAGCACAGGTATGAGCCCACACTGAACAACTCAGTAACTTAACAAGACTGCTTCCCAAAGTAAAAAATAAAAAGGCCTGGGGATGTAGCTCAGTGCAGAGGCCCAGAGTTCAACCCCCAAGACCGAAACAAAGGAATGAGTGTAAAATTTGACGTGGATGCATTTGGATGTGAAACGTGTATTTTCTTGTTCTATTTCAGCAGATGTCTCATCAAATATTGCAAAGATGATCATCGGCCCCCTCATCTTCGTCTTTCTCTTCAGTGTTGTGATCGGGAGTATTTATCTATTCCTGAGAAAGCGGTGAGTATGTGGCAGGCCACTCATCAATGGCTGTCCATTATGTACGCCTCAATATAGGTGGGGTAGAGCTGAGGTTATTGTAGATTTTACTGAACCTGTAACATACAAGAATTCCGACGTAGTGTGGGTGAATCAGGATGAAGCCCCATTGTAGTTGAGGAGTAACAGACCCCCTCATTTATTCCAGACACCCCTCATTTAATGACCGGGTTATGTTCCTACACCTAGGTCATTAAGTGAATCAGTTGCTAAATGAGGAATTGTGCTTAGTATCTACAAGATTCAAACAAAGTCATGGTCAAAGGATACTCCAGCTTGGTGACTCAAGCTTTTGTTTGCATAACTCTTACATGGCCCGGCTGGTGAGGGACAGTTGTTAAATGTTTAGAAAACTGGCAAGCTAGGTGTTAAATACAGGCATCATTAAAAATGAAAGGACCCATCCCCGAGGGAGGTTGGGGCAGGAGGGTAGCAAGTTACATGCAGTTCTGTGATGGAACACAGGGCAGAAAACTACAGGAATGTTCAGTGCAGTCAGTAAAAATGACAGCACTGGATTAACAAAACGTGCAGAAGAAGACACTGAAACTATAAACAAGATGTACAGAAGAGTACAAATAATTAGAAAGTGGTGAGCTGAATTCTGTTTGTTTAATTAACTTGCTCTTAGTATAATTTATTTACATACTTTTTATTTTAAAACAACAATAAAACAGAACAATAAAACAAAACAGTGGTATGACAGTAGGAAACCACAAGTTACTGTAGTGCATATTGTTACTGTTAATCTCTAAATAGTTGCAAAACCAATCCAACAATGCAAGCATTAGGCTGTTTCTTTACTTCAGTTATTATGATATCAGCCTGTGCTTCCTCAAATCAGCTGGTTGCTTATGGAGGGTGGAGTGGGGTGTTTCCTCCCTCCCAGTCCAGACACTGGCTGGCTTATGGGGGTGTGGGTAGGGCTGTAGGGGAGGTGGCCTCCTTCCTTCCTGGTTCTCCCTGGCTAGCAGGGCCGCTGCTGGCACATGGTGGTGGTAGGGGGCTGTGTAGTTTCCTTCCTGGTTTTCCCCTTAGTATAGTTTATTTAATTGTGAGCCACCCTCTATATTTTTTGGGGGGGGGGGGACGGGGAGAAGGTAGTACTGGGGATTGAGCCCAGGACTTCTCTTCTACTGAGCTACACTCCCAGCCCTTTTTGTCTTGAGACAGAATCTTGCTAAGTTGCCCAGGTAGGACTTAAACTTGCTACCCTCCTACTTCAACCTCCCTTGGGGATGGGTGGTTTCATTTTTAATGATGGTTGCATTTAACAACTAGTTCGCCTACTTCCTAAACATTTAACAGTTGTTTCTCACCAGCAGGGAAGAGCTGGCTCTGGGATGATACTGAATGTGTAGCAATCTGGTGTCACACAGACAACCATGCATTCCAGGAAGAGCCAGCCAGGGAGGGGCGGGCATTCCCAGGCTGATGGGCAGCTCTAGGATTATATGAAAGGCTCGCTCTTGGCCTTGGAGCCTCAGTCTGGACGGACCACAGAATAAATACTCCGTTCCTGATTTGCACTGTGGCCAATCCCAAGACCTACAGAGTGCCATGAGAATCTCAAGCCGTCCATCTCCATTTCTCCTGCAGACAGCCAGACGGACCGATGGGACCGCTATATGCTTCCTCAAACCCAGAGTACCTCAGTGCCAGCGACGGTGAGTACCATTCCATGACATCATCGAGGGAGGGTTGGCTGATGCCCAGGGGTGGGAAAAGCCTCCTTGTCATTTGAGCCTGTCCACCTGTCCCTACTGCAGGAACCAATAAGATAAACTGGCAGAGTCCTACTGTCTGGTGCCCATCTGGAGAGGCTGACATAGCTGCTCTGGGTTCCTAGGGCTGGATGGAGAGGTTGAGATCCTAGGAGACTAGCCTTGGGAGAGTAGAGCTGGAGAGAGGGCCAGGAGTCAGAGCCAGAAAGCCAGGTCCAGACTTGCCCTCCACAATGGGAGGTGGGAGCTGGATGCTGAAAAGGGAGCTCAGAGAAGCAAGGGGCAATGGTGGCTACTGGGCTGGGGGCCACATGCTGAGGCTGACGGCAGGCGAACACAGGCCATGCTGGTACTAGGCTCATGTGGTACAGATGCTGATGGCTGGCACATGGGATGGACACTGTCTTGTCCTTGACTGTTCCGAAGGGCAGGGAATGCCCTGTAGAGAGAAGGCACAGCTGTTTCTGAAGAGGTGATGGCGTGTATTGCATAAATTTTTGCAAAACAGAATTTGATTTCTGAGGCCAATGGGGAGCTGACCTGGGATGGCCTCACTCTCATGTCTGGGGCCTAGTGGGATGGGTTGCTCTGAGTGTTGGTCTCATGCAGGGTCACAGAGCCTCTCCCGTTCTGTGTGGCTTGCTTGGGTGCCATTCCGAGGTGTGCCCTGGAGGTTCCTCGCAGCAAGTGAGGGCCAGCTTCAGGTCACAGGCAGGCACACACGTGTCTGCTTGGGTTGGGTGTGTGGATTCCCATTAACTAAAGCAAGTATCACAAGGCCACATCCATATGTAAAGGATGGGGACATAGAGTCTACACCTTCTTGGGGAGGGTTGCCAAGTTCTGGGGCCGTCTTGTTTTCTGACTGGATACAGGCCGTCCTCCATCTTCTCTGCCCTTTATAGCTCCAATGGGAGGGGGCACCACTCAGTAGCAGGGGTCTGAAATCACATAGGGGTGAGATGCAGAGCTGGCTGGGCACATTTCAGGCCAGGATCTTGGACTGGGGACTGTGCCTTTCCTAGTCTCTGCCACCTTCTCCAGTGCCCCAGTCTCATGTGCCCCCTGTCCAGCCAAGGTCCTGGATCGCAGAATGAATGGACATTGTGGGGAACTCAGGCCAAGGCTCTGTCTGGGAGGTGGCTGGGAACCCCCAAGGGATTGGTGAGAACTGCCGTGTAGATAAGTGAGAAGTAGTGTTCCCGTGTTCTGTGTATGTGCCGGACGAGTGGGAGGTGCCTCGAGAGAAGATCACCCTCCTGCGAGAGCTGGGGCAGGGCTCCTTCGGCATGGTGTATGAGGGGAATGCCAAGGACATCATCAAGGGGGAGGCAGAGACTCGTGTGGCGGTGAAGACGGTCAATGAGGCGGCCAGTCTCCGGGAGAGGATCGAGTTCCTCAACGAGGCTTCAGTCATGAAGGGCTTCACCTGTCACCACGTGGTGAGTCTGGGATGGAGTAAGGGCTTCCTTTCATGTCCCTTCCCTCCCTGAACTTCTCCCTACCACACAGAGCTGCCAAGGACACTGGGTTCAAGTTCCTGTCCACTCCCCACCTGGTCAAACCCCTCCCAAAGAGTTTGGGGGAATTCCTTCCGGTCTCCATCCCACCCTCTCCCACCTCACCTAAAACCAAACTCTGTCACTCTTTCATCACTTTCCAGAACTTTCTTACTGCTTTCTTGAATCATCTCTTGGCTTCTAGAATCTTCTATGGGCTTCCAGAATTTTTCAACACTCTCCAAAATTTTCCATTGCTTTCCAAGAATTCTCCTTTGCTTTCTGGAATCTTCTCAACCTATTTCTTGGCTCCTTTGTAACCCTTAACTCCGTGGAGATTTGCCCCTTTCTCCCTGCCCTCCTCCTTGCCTCTCCTTGAAGCAGACACATATCTACCATTCCTTTCTGATCCCACCGTGGCCCCTTGGTTTCTCTTTGGGTCCCCTGTCCTTTCTTTCTTACCATACACATTTATGAGAACATTCTTACTATGCTCATAATGCAGCAGAGGGTGTATCCTCATGAAGCCCCAGGACAGCAGGTGGTAGAGACAGATTCCAAACCCAGGGTGCTCATTATGTGCTAGGAGATGCTATAGCAAAATACAGAAAGGGCAGGGCATGGTGGCACACACCTGTAATCTTAGCATTCAGGAAGCCGAGGTAGAAGGATCATGAGTTCAAGGCTGCCTGGACCACAGAGTGAGACCCTGTCTCACAAAAGGCAAGCAACAGTAGAAAGAAGGAGTGGTTGGGGTGTTTGTGAGGAAAGACTTATCACATGTGAAGACCTGAGCTCTGTGGTCCTGGGAGTCGGGCAGAGGAAACAGTTAATACAGGAACAGCTAAGGATGTAGGTATGGGACTCAGGACAACTCAAGGGTGGGATTTTTTGGAATGCCACTGGATGTGACAGGTCTGTCCCCGACCTGCCTGAGACCAGGGCTGACCACTCTCCATCCAACACACACTGGGCTATGCATGTGTGTGTGTTGGGAACCAGGCAGAGACCACAGTGAGCTGAAATCGCTCCACAGACTCTCATCCGAGAGGACCCTGTGCTTGTTCTGCAGGTCCGCCTCCTGGGGGTGGTGTCCAAGGGCCAGCCAACACTGGTGGTGATGGAGTTGATGGCCCATGGAGACCTGAAGAGCTACCTCCGTTCCCTGCGGCCAGAGTCTGAGGTGAGCTGCTTCGAGGTCCCTGGCCAGGCACCCGCACCCCTACTGCAGGTACCGTGTTGCTCAATGTCACCCCTTGTCTGACTTTAGAATAACCCTGGCCGCCCTCCCCCTACACTGCAAGAGATGATTCAGATGGCGGCGGAGATTGCTGATGGGATGGCATACCTGAACGCCAAGAAGTTTGTACACCGGGACCTGGCAGCTCGAAACTGCATGGTCGCCCACGATTTTACCGTCAAAATCGGAGGTTCGTCTCAGGAAACTTTCTTTCTCCTTTGCAGTGTCTGATCCCAACCAGTTTTGATAGCAAAATCTCTTTTGGTAGAGTCAAGGGGCAGGATTAGGGCTTGGGGCTCCAAGTTTCCAGCTGTAATTCAATTGCATCTGTTGGTGAGCTCACCTACCTTTTCACACTTATAGAAAACACGTGTGTTCTTGTAAGTGCCAGTCACCAGTCAGTGCTGAAGATGCAGATGGGATATAAATCACCATGATTTTCTGCCCTCATGAAGCATACAGTCTGTCTGAATCCTCAGGCACCAAATGGTCCAACTGGTTGTGGCCATTAATATTTAAAAGAATCTAAATTAAAGTAAACTTGAGTGCAGGTCCAGCCCTAGCCACAGTTTGGCATTCCATGGTCTCCTGAGACTATTGGCCGCCATATTGGATAGTGCAAATATAGGTGATGCCATGACCACAGGAAGTTGTGCCAGGCTGGGCTGTTTCAGATAAAGGGAGAAGGGGTTCACATTTATACAAACAAGATAAGGAAGGCTGGGTACACAGGGATGAAGAAAATAAAAAGTACCACGTTTGAGGGAAGGAAATGGCCCTCTTTGCATGAAGGCTTTGTGTCAGCCCTGACTGGAAGTAAGTGGAGCAACTCGAGGAGGAGTAGCAGCCAATGCAAAGGCCAGGAGGATGGAAGGATGGTGATGGGGTGTGAATAAAATGAAGGAGAGGCGACCAGAGCAGCTTGAGATGTGAGGTATAGCTGAGAGGCAGGAGCCAGACTCTTAGGGACCCCTGCCAGTCACCGGAAGTCATCTGGCTCTCATCCCGCAAAGCCAGTGGGAAGCAGGAGGGAACTTCCTGCTATTCATGACCCGGAAAGACATCCTTCTACATTAACGGTGGGAGTCAGGAAGGGAGATGGGCCTGTGTATGATCCCAAGTGATATTCTCCTACACTACCAGTGGGGGCGGGAAGGGCTGTGATCCTATCTGTAGAGATTGTCCTGGGTGGGGGCTGTCATCAAGTAGGAAGGGGTGGCTTGGTATCTGTCTTGGATGAGGGATGTGAGGAAAGAGCGTGACCAGAGGTCAGCTGGCTGGACAGTGGGGTGGACAGCAGGGCTTTCTTCAGTGAGAAACAGAAAGTCCAAAGTTCAGTTTGGGGTGTCTGTGAGGGTACAGATGGGAAGAATACATAACTCAGAATGAGATTCCAAGTGTGGGCTGGAAGTTCACTACTTTATCGCTTGGTGCCTCTTTTTGCCCCCCTTTTAAATGCTGACCTAGATTCTATCTACACTTCCCCGTGAATCCCCTCCCTGGATCTGGCTGTCACCCAGTGAACACACCCCAAGAGGCAGATGAGCCTCTCTGAGGGCTCCGCAAGGGGTAGAGCAGTCCAAAGGCAGATCTCAGGGCCAAAGCTGAAGGCTGAGCAGGTGTGAACTGTTTTTAGACTTTGGAATGACGAGAGACATCTACGAAACGGATTACTATCGGAAGGGAGGCAAAGGCCTGCTCCCCGTACGGTGGATGGCACCAGAGTCCCTGAAGGACGGGGTCTTCACTGCTTCTTCCGACATGTGGTGAGTTGTACGTGGGTTGGTGGACATACGTGCTGGGTTTCAGGGCTGGCTGATCAGCAAGAGCCAGTAAGGGAAGCCCGTCTCCTCTTGCAGGAGGAATTTTGTCTGAGGACCTTTGCAAGGTCATCCTTATGTTCTGATCGTCAGTGATCTCACAGGAATTTATGAATTGCGATTGCAATGTGAATCATCTTATTTACTGGCCAACCAGGTTCTAGTTAACCAATAAAGAGGATGTGTGTCTATTTATGTGTGTGCATGTGTGCGACAGTGTAGGGAACTGTGTATATTTGTTTGTGTATGTGTTTTACTGGTGCCTTTGTTAACTGCTCTGTCATTGGCAGGTCCTTTGGTGTGGTTCTTTGGGAAATCACCAGCCTGGCAGAACAGCCTTACCAAGGCCTGTCCAATGAGCAGGTGTTGAAATTTGTCATGGATGGAGGGTACCTGGACCAGCCCGACAACTGCCCTGAGAGAGTGTAAGTATAGAAAGGCATGTCATGTAAAAGGTGTTCCTAAGAAAGTCATTGGCCTTTGCACGTAGCTTCTGTTTGCATATTGTACGTTCACATGCATGGCTGTGCTCACAAGCTTTATGCCTTCTGTGTGTTTGTTGGAATAGGGAATCCTTACTATATTCTTGGGTTAGTGTATCACTGTTACACGCAGTTTGTGTTTATATGTTGCATTTTGCACTCCCACTTCTGCCTGCCTATGTGCAGTCTGGGCCAGCATATTATATCTTCACAATGTGCTGTTTGCATAGCGTACCTACATGCATGCATGTGTGCTCCTGATATGTATTAAGTGCATTTGTATTTTTATTTTGTATTGTATTTTATTATGGCTGCATGTGTGCTTCTATTCACATGCCATAATTTTGCTTGCACACTTAGCTTAGCATATCCTGCGTCCTATATGTGTGCATATCATATTTTTATACGTGTGCTTGCTTTTGTGTATCGTATGTCTTCTACATTCATGCATGTGTGTCCATATATTACATGTATGCTTTTCTTGCATGTCACATCTTTGCAGGGTTCTACAAGACAGAGATCTGTATTTAGATGTTATTTTTCTTTGTGCACTTAAAAGTTTGCATTATGTTTCCCTTATAAATATTTTTGTTTTAAATTTTTGTTAGAGAAACAAATGGTCAACACGTGCACATACCACTAAACATTAGGAAAATTGTTTACTTTTGTTAATAGTCCAATAAATGTAAAGAAAATAGTAAAACTTGTAAAATTAGGGGAAAAAAAGAAAGAAAGTGGGGAAAGATAATAAATGATGAAAAGGAAAAAAGAAAAAAGAGTTTTAATACACAGTGTAGAAATAGTGTTTTTAGAAGCCAGGCATGGTGGTACATGTCTATAGATTCAGCACTCCAGAAGCTGAGGCTGGAGGATTGTCTTCAGTTCAACGTGAGCCTGGGCTCCGTAGTGAGTTCACTGCCAGCCAGAACTACATAGTGAACATTGTTTTGTTCAAAAAACAAACAAAACTAACAAAAAAAGAAAGGATGGTGTTGGATTACCATTGTTATCACTTAATTGTACTATTTATGCAGAGCAATGTTATTTGAAGTTGTAAGATAGGAAAGGAAAATGAATTCAGTATTCAATAGTATGAGACTTCTAAAGAACCTTGATAATGTTAATATGACATAACAATTGAAATTTCAAAAGTGCTTATAAAAATATGTTATAACCCAGTGAAGAATCTCACATTAATATATCAAGTGGCAAAATGAGGTATCTATTCCACTTCCAAATGTGTCAGGAAGAAAAGACTGGATTACAGTTGAATGAATTGGGAGTGAGTTATATTTTCTATATACAGTACTTTGGGGGGTTGTTTTAAGCTTTCTACACTGAATGCTTATTACGTAGAAATTCCTTTGTCATTCTTTGTCAAGTTTTTGTGCTTCTGAAAATTCATGGAGGAAGGTTATTTTAATGCTTCTTCCCCCAAAGAATAAGACATCAATTTAGAAAACTTCCATGACAAAATGTATGAAGCAGAATTATTTGGATTTACTAAGCAAAATATTTCTCAGGATTGTCTCTTGAAGAACCTTGCCTAACTATGCCAATTTGAGTTGGGTGTGGTTCCAGAAACGGGAAAATTAAATAAAGTCTGGGGCAGGTATTCACATGACTTTCGCTATGGTGTAAATATTTTCAGTTTGTGCTCCATGTGACTTTCTGTTGAAGCTACTCAAACCTGGAGGCTGAAGCAGGAAGGTGACCATAGACATTACAGAAGTGGATGGGTATAAACACATCTGTGAGCCAGGTTTCCACCATGGTGACAAAATACTGAGGAAATCAATTTAAAGGAGGAAAGGTTTATTAAGGCTCACAGTTTCAAGAGGTTTCAGTCCATAGTTATCGGGTGCTGACCTAGATCCCCAATCTCCAAAATTAGTGTTCGGCGAAGGCTTAAATAAAATGAGACAAGTGGTATGATTTTAGGGCTCCAGGAGGGTCAAAACCCTTTAGCTGAGTTCGAGACTCTGAGGGCTAAGACAGAGACTTCTCTGGCCACCCGTATTTATTAGGTCCAAACAAAGAGTGGGGAAACTGAGGAAAGTGCAGGCAAGGAACAGGACCTTGGGAGTCACTTTAAAGACTTCTCCAAGTAGTACATTATGCCAGGAGAACTGTCTTATCTCCATGATGACATTTATGGTGGGAGTGAGATAGCAGGAGTTAGATGCCTGCAGATGCAGTCTCTGTCTACTTAATTGGGCTTGGAGTCAGATGTCCTCAGCTGTGGCCTTATCTTGCCCTTTGAGGTATCTCTGGCCTCACAGGCCACTACAGACCTCAGCCAGGACCAGTGATTCACAGAGGTTCACTTACTATGAATCAGCTCTCATCCCTAGGCAAGGGGCGTAGGCCTGGGACAGAGTCACAGATAAACACAGAAAGCCAATTAATAAAATTTAAATCCTGCTCAGAGCCGCTTCGTAGTGGTCTCCAACAACCGCACAATGAGAAAACTTTATTTACAAACACACTCTGAGGGCTGCATTTGGTCAGAGGCTGGTGCTCACCACTTTTTGTCCTGGAGCAATTTACAGTGTGGAAAGAAGGTAAAACTGAAAACCAGGCCATCAGCTCTTGTTCTGTGTGCTAAGTGGCAGCCAGGAGGTCCCAGGGAAGCCTGTGAGGTACACAGCCCTGGGTATTGCTGGACACTCGTGGGTCTCCTTCCGGTAGATAGTGTGTACCCACCAGGAAGTGGTTCCCTGATTATGGCACCACTGACACCTTCTGGAAGAGAAAGTAGGTGTCATTAGCAGGTCCACTGAGAGCGGAGTCCCTGGGTAAAATCCTCATGGCTGCACCTACCATGGCTTAGGCGTCCCCACTCTGAATGGTCTTAGCCTGGTGGACACAGAGAATCCTTGGAAGCAGCCCCAGGAAGGCGTGAAACCTTTGCAGATCCCCAGGTAGTGGGGTCCATGGATGAATAAAATATCGCACCACTTTGTGAAGCCAGACAAAGCCCTTCTGGCTTGCTTATTTGTTTGTTGTGGTGCAGGGACTTGAACCCCAGGGCTCTTGCTGTGAGCTAGGTCCTGAATACTTCGTTTATTTTATTTCATTTTGAGACAGGGTTTTGTTAAACTACACAGGCTGGACTTGAATTTGTGACCTTCCTTCCTCAGCTCCTAGAGTGCTGGGGTTCCAGGCATACATGCCAGTCCTGATGTCAGATTTCTTTCCAGCTGTGTCTTCCAGCTGTTGTAGTAGTGCACATTCATAGACCAAGCACTCTGGGAGCCCTGAGCAGGCAGATGCAAAATTTCAGAACCCCTAGAGTAATCATTTGTGCCTTGATTGTTTGGCCACACAGGGACACCCCTGCCCCCAGTGTCCAGCGTCTCTGGGTTGGGCTGCTTGGCAGGGCCACTGCACTCACCACCCTGTCCCCCTGTCCCTAGCACTGACCTGATGCGCATGTGCTGGCAGTTCAACCCCAAGATGCGGCCGACTTTCTTGGAGATCGTCAACCTGCTGAAGGATGACCTTCACCCCAGCTTCCCAGAAGTCTCCTTCTTCCACAGTGAGGAGAACAAGGCCCCCGAGAGCGAGGAGCTGGAGCTAGAGTTCGAGGACATGGAGAACGTGCCCCTGGACCGGTCCTCGCACTGTCAGAGGGAGGAGGCTGGGGGCCGGGAGGGAGGATCCTCATTGGGCATCAAGCGGACCTACGAAGAGCACATCCCTTACACCCACATGAACGGGGGCAAGAAGAACGGGCGGATTCTGACCCTCCCTCGCTCCAGCCCTTCCTAATGGCACCTGTCTGGGGAAAGGCTTCCCGAGATTGTCCACTTCCCTCTGGTTTGAACAGAAAACTCAGGATTCTCACAACTCTCCCCTGATGTCAAATGGAGCTCAGGTGGCCCCTGGGTGTTTGGTGTTCATCTTTTGACCTAAAGTGTACGGATGTCATTGGCAACTCACTCACTGTCGTCAGAGGCTTTAACTGTGAACCCAGAGGGGACGGGCTTTCCACAGCTGCTGCCTGTTTGGGGCATAAACAGTTTCAAACCAGGACTCTTTTTTTTTTTTTTTTTTTTTTTCTGTTTTTGTAGGAGATTGAAAAGAAAAAAAAAAACCACCTGTTTTACAGATTTTTTTTTTCTTTTGCTGGTGTCTGAGCTATAAGATAAATCTTATTTGTGGCACAAAGGTTGGCAAGAAAGAAGAAACAAAACCCTGTTCCAGAATTCCAAGCGTGACAGGGTGAGCTTTGAGAAGATATTTTTCTCATCCAGGTGGAAGGATTTTATTTTATTTTTATTTTTCTTATTCACAAAATCGGTTCCTCAAATCGACCAATAGCTGCTGCTTTCCTGTTTTTGATAAAGGGTATGCAATCCCGACGTGTGTGCACATACACACGTGTGCATCAGTGTACATGTGTGTCCAGTTTAGAGACTGCTGGTGTGTGTCTGTGTGTGCGTGTGCGTGTGCGCAAAATATTCGTGCTGGATTGATGTTTTGGGTACTGGCTCATGAAGGTTCTGCTGTTCGGTATGTTTAGACTCACAGCCTCCTCGCGCTCCTTCCGTATTTATGGGAGACTGTGTCCTCTCTGGACTCTTCTCATGGTGAGAATCTTGCCTTCGCTGTCTTCTCTTCCTTCCCTTTGGTGGTGAAATGTTTTCCAGGTGCTAATTGACAAGCACTTGGAGTGATCCTGGATCTCTGGAAGACCAAAAAATCCAGAATAAAAAACAAAAGAAGAAGAAGAAAAAGGAGGAAGAGGAGAAGGAGTGAGGGAGGAGGAAGAGGGAAAAGAAGAGGGAGAAGAAAGAAAACAAAAACTGAGGCGACGAGTGTACTGAGAATATATTTGCAGCGTGTTTAATTTTTCAGCAATCTCTGGCTCTAGCCTGATAAGTTATTGACTATTTCCCGGGTGTTGGGTGGGAGGTGGTGAGTGGGTCTCCCTGTGGGGGCAACGGGGGCGGGACACACACGTCCTCGTTGGGTTTTACAGACATCCGTTTTCTGGGAATGATGCCACATTAGCTGCTAACCCTTTTTGGACATCTTGAGGTCACGCGGAGGCTGAGAGCAACTGGGTTTCGTGGGTGGCCCGGTTCAGTTCCTAAAGTCTGCTGACAGTTTCCTGTGAGGATAAGCTGGTGATTCCCTAGAGCTGAGCCTGCCTTTGAGAACACCTGTGTTCACCCGCTGGTTCTCTGTGTGTACCTCACCTCTGAGGCACTTCTCCTCCTGGGTGTGTACCTTCTTCAGTTATTATGCAAACACAACAAAATCTGGTCCAAAGACTGACGACATGGATGGACTTCACCAATACTAAGCAATATTCGAGGAGCTACCCTGAGACTACCTGTCGGTGCCCTTCTACTCTTGGGGTCTCTGACTGTCCTCAGAACCAAACTCCCAGAGCTACACAGGGCCCAGGGACCACAGCTGGGCCAGATGTGGTGCCTGAGTGTGTTTCTCAGGCACTTGTCGTGTCACAGGCCCTAAGAGACTTCACGTCTGGAGGAGAAACCATCAAAGGCCTTCCCGTCAATGAGAACTTCCACATGGATGTGAATCCACTGTTTCTTCTTCATGTGAAAAGAACCACAGCTGCTCCAGTGAAGAATATGGTGACCCCACTGCTTGGGGTCATTGGAACGATCACCCTAGAGTTATCCCTGAGTGCATTTTCTTGTAAGTGTTCAATTGCTTCCTTCTCTTCTTAGGAGTCATGGGATAGAGACATAATGGCAACCTCCGAGCTCTCTCAATTGAGAACACAGGTAGACGCAAATCCCAATTGCATATTGCTATTATTTATATGATTTGAGAAATTGCAGTGTGTAAAGTACAGCTGGGGGAGCATCTACGGTGGGTACAAGACTCAAGAGTACAGAAATTATTTTTTGCCAAAATGAATTTGTAAATAGAAGAGGGTCTGTACGTAAATTAAAGACACACATAGATCTAGGTATTTTGTTCTTTTCAGAGAAAATTTGTAGTGGTCCTATACTACAGTAGCAGCAATTTTCACATTTTTCTAATTCAGAAAGGTTTTTCTTATATTACTGGGGGAAAGTATTTATTTTAATATATAAAATCACTCTAAAATCACTTTCGTAAAAAACAGTGCATGTAAATTTTTATCAAGGAAAAGTAAACAGGTGAGTGTGGGTAGTGATTTTTTTTTTATCAGCACAGTCTACCTCAGTGTACTGTTAGGATGTGGTTCAATACAGACATCTTTGGGATATCAGAATTCCTTTTGGATCCAATCTGTATCAGGGAAAAATAGGTATCAAAGGACTCTGGACGCCAGGGACCAGTAAGGATTTCGAAGGATGGAGTTGGGGTGGAGAAAGTTGTGGCCTTCATGTGAACATAAATCCTTTTACTCCTGGCTGCTAATATTCTCTAAATTTAATCTTCATTTGGAAATGAAATCTATCTTTGACACTGTGCTCCCCAAACATAACCCATGTTGTAGGCCTTGGTGACATATCTGACACATGGGGGTATGGTCTGTCTTGTGTTGAGAGGTCAGTGTCCCAGGCCCTGTTGAGGCCAGATAGGCTTTGACTCACAGCCAGTACCTCACCTGTCCCACTAAGTACCCCCAAAGGGAGCACAAAGGTGCCCGGTCCTCTGATGGTTTGTTTCCATTCCTTTCAGACTGGTGATATTCTGTTCTTGGGCACCTCATGTATAACACCTAGAGCAATTAGGGCAGTGCCTCTTATTTTTTTTCTCTGAGTGGAAAGGACACATCTTGGGAAACCCCACTCTAAAACTCATCAGCATGCTGACAACAAAAACTGGGACCCAAGTGAAGGTTTGGCTGATCCCAAGCTGATACTGACTGACTTTGTGCAACTTTGAAAACCCATCTGAACCCACTTGTTGTCACACTCGCCAGACCTCATTGCTGTCTTGCTTTTAGACGCTGCCCTTCAGGCTCACCCTTCTTCAGCTGCCCTGGAGAGTAGTGGTGCGCTGGTCCCACCCTGTGCAGATGGGGCTTCACTGATTACACTCGGACGTCTACTACTGCATGGAAAAGACCAAGCAGTTGAAGGACAACGCATTTCCTTTTAGCGTCAGGAATTGTTCGTTTTGGAAACAACAGAACTTTGGCTGTAGAAAGGCACAGGTTTCTTGGGAGTTTGTGTAAGGGGTTACAAAAAAAAAAAAAAAAAGCAACAAGATCAGATTAGGTTGACATTTCCTGTTGGTTTTTTAAAGAAGGCTCACTCCTATAAAACATTTTCCCTTAACGTGAGACCCATGATGTAGTAGTTTCTTCTTCTGGGAGAAGAATGCCAGACATTGCTTTTCTCCATGGATCAGTGATGTCATCCAATACTAGGAAATACTCATTTTGGGGGCAGCTGTCCTAGGTGCTGTCCGGTCATTTGAAGTTAGTACAAAGGGGAAGCATTGCTGGTTCTCTGGATACAGGCTGGGCACAACTGACTGAACAGGTGGGAACCGTTGCAAGGGTCTGCATGTAAAATGCTGTGGCTGCTGGGAATTCTGCCACCAGCCGATGGACAGATCTTCTGCTCTGTCCTGCCAGGGCACTGTGAGATGCATGTATTAGGTTGGGTGCTGTTTATTTCATCCCTTTGTGACACTGGACACTGGCCAGTTTCATCATAAGGACCCAGCCTGTGCTGGCCACCCTGGCAAATGAATGGATGTACCATAGTCCCAACAAGAGTTACTCTTCTGCTGCATGGTGGGTAGAACTTTGGGGTTCAGTGTATATGGGTACCATCTGGTGAGTCCTTGATACTTAGGCTCTTTAGCAATTACGGATTTGTTGGTATTGGGGAAAGAGGAATGCTGATTTTTATATAACGGGTGCACAAAGAATAGCACCATTTCAGAATGCTGATTTGCAGCAGAGGTGAGATTGGAAAATGGAAGAACAGACCGATAATTGTTTAGAAAACACACAAAAATATGAGGAGTTGTGACAGAAGGCAAATGTGTCTTCAGGGGTCCCTAACACATGGGGAGATGTAATGATTTTTTTTTTTTTTTAGTTTATTGTCACTTTCTGCTAATCATCAAAATCCAGAACCAGGCTCCAGCCAAATTTTATCTCAGCATGGGCCACCAAAATCCTTGATAAAAACCAGATCACGAATCTAGGGCTCTTGGTCCCTGTGGAGAAGGAAGGGATAGCTCCCAGATGAGTGTGCATAGATGCATATATTCAGGAATGGCTTGTGTGGTCTTCACACGTTGTGTCAAAGTTGCTGCTCTTTGCCCTTTTGTGTGCGTGGGTGGCCTCAGCCCTGCGTGTCAGCAGCGCGGGATCCAATGTGCCGCAGCTTTTGCAGAAAAATAATTCAGAAACACAAAGCCCACCCAAAGCTCCATTATTACTATTTTTCAATGTTTTCCTACAAGAGCCAAGTAGCACCATGTACAGACTATGCCTTTTTTAGAGGGAGGGGGATTGAAATTTTTTGTGCATGTAAAATATGGGATAATTACTTGTTTATATTAAAATTCTGAATAAATTATCTGCGAATACTCTGGCTTTTGTGTGGTGTCTGGGCTGGCCTGGGTGAGGTTGTGGTTTAGGGTGGGCTGTGTGGAGAGGGTGCCTAGGGAAGTTGGGCAGTCTGAGAGATGATTCCCATACTGTTCAGGGCGTGACTCTGGAAGTTAATGTTGGCTTCTGGCAGAGCTGATGGTCCTGGTACTCATACCTGTACCGGTGGCTTAGCTACTGCATTGGGGGTGATGGTGTAGCTCAGTGGTGTAGCACTTCCATCCCAGCACTATGGAAACACAAAATACAAAACGAAACAAAATAATCCAAGTTGGTACAGCATTATGTCCACACCGATTTGCACTTTTTTAAAAAATTTTTTACCAGTATCAGGGATCGAACTCATGACCACAGGCTTGCAAGAAGGCACTTATGCCACTGAGCTAAATTCCCAGCCCTTCCACACCAATTTGCAAGCACCTGCTTCCCTAAAGGGCCCTAGGCTTCCTCATGATACGATCAAAAAGATATTCACTCTGGGAATCTCAGGGAGCTTAGTCTATTCCAAAGAGCTGGACACTTTTTTGTGTGTGAAGTATTTTTAATGTTGTCTTGGCAGTGCAGACCTGCCTGCAAGGCTTGTGGGACATGGATTAAAAGATGATAACTAGACACCATTCCCTGAGCCAAAAACCTAGCACAGTGTTTAAGAAGGAAAACACTCCCTCTTCACTCAGCGTGTGGCTTTTCACAAGTCACGTCAATTGACATGTTGGTTTGTCTGTGCAACAAACACTGTGGCTTACGATGACAGCAAACTTACTGAGTTTATTAAATGCATTTTAAGTGATAACATGTAAACGCTGTACATATCAGAAGGGTACGATTTTTTATCGTTTTTTTCTCAGAAGGATACTTTTTAAATATTCCATCCATCCATACATTGTGTAATGTCTAAAGAAGTTTAAGCATAGTTACCTTCTCCCACAAAGTTTATAGTGAACACTTTTGTAATCTTTTCTTCCAGCTTTTTGAGTGTATAAACATTTTTGTTGTCTGTCTTGGTTACTTTTACTTTTCTCTCGAGACGAAATACCTGATGCCCAAAATGAAAAAAGGAAAGGTTTATTTATCTTACAGTTTTGGAGGTTTCTGTCCATACTCACCTGGCTCCAAGGTAGGGTGGTGTGGCTGAGGGGCAGCCGTTCTTGGTGGCCACAAACAGCAAGAACAAAAGCACAGAAGAGGGAGCAAGCCTCTCAGCCTTCCCAGCCTTACATGGTATGCCTGCTCCCACCCTGGGCGGGTGCAGCACTCACACCACCAATCCCAGTGCTAGACAACAAGCCAATCACAAATGCTAGATTCAGCTGCCTCCATGATTGCCTGAGGCTTGGGGGGGGGGTGGGATCTGAACACAAACCATAACATTGTCTATCATCATGCTATTGGCAATATGTAGCAGAACTTCTTGATCCTGTTGAACTGTAACTCAGTGTCCATTGACCAGTCTTTCCTAGTCTCCCTCCTCTCCCTTCTCAAAGTGTCTGATGACCCTCAAAATTCTATCCATTTCTATGACATCTACTTAGATTTCCCCTGTGATATCATGTGTTGTTTCTGTGTGTGGTTTATTTCACTCACCACCACGATCTCTGGTTTCATCTGTGTTGCTGCAAACAACAGAATTCCATTCTTTTTTATGGCCATATAGCATTCTCGTATGCAGGTGTACCACATTTTATTCATCCACTGGTTGATGGATACCTAGTCTCCATTTCTAAAATGTTTTCAGTTGTGCTGCCATGAACACAGGATTGCTAAGGGATTCTGTGATGCAACTTCCTCAATGTCCTCAGCCCTTTGCTAGCTGTTAATCTGAGTCTGCTGGCCTATCTCCTGGATGCACAGTTCCAATATCGTGAAGCTGACCGCGCTGCTCAAAATTGCACCTTCCAGGTGACCCACATAGAATTGTATATCCAAGACAGTTTCCAGGAGGCTTTGTTACAGTCAGAAACCCACAGGACACCAGAGTGGTGGATGCTTTACTGGACAGATTGTACTGGGTAGTGTGGAGCCACTGTGGTGATGCTTTCCTAAATCCAGTGAGTGCTAGTGTAAACCCACTGTAGTGGAGGCTGTGGTGGATGTGGTAGTTGCTGGGGTGGACTCATTGTAGTGGACACTGTAGTGAAAATGATGGATTCTGGGGTGGCCCTGCTATACTGGGTGAGTCAGCGCTGTGCTGGGCTAACACTAATGGATGTTGTGGTGTGCCACGTATGTGTCTTCACTATTACAGCTGTCATGAATGCTGTCTTCTGGAGATACACATCAGTTCTCCTTGGAGCTTGCTGAGATTTAGAGAATGTATGGTGTCCAAAGTTATGCCCTTCTCAAATTGACCACATCTGACAGCTGATCAGTGTGGATACAGAGGCCTCTGCCCAAGTGTTTGTAATGGGTTAAAAATTATTTATCCATCTATCATCTATCTATATCTATTTACCTATCAATCATTTGTTTATCTATTGATATAGATAACAATGTAGATAATGACATAGCTATAGCTATATTTCAGAATCTCAGTGTACAACCTTATTTAATAACAGTGTTATTGGAGATGTAATCAACTAAAATGAGATCACAATGCAGTGCAGGGGCACACTAATCCATCTGACCAGTGATCTTATAAAAGGGAGAACATACACAGATATACATACAAGGAAAATGCTGTGTGAAGATAAAGACTGAGCTCTGCCCATGTTTCTTCAAGTCAAGGATGTCAGGAGGGATTGCCAGCCACCACCAGAAGCTATCAGGCAGGGACAAGATCTTTCCGGATCATCCTCTCAAGAACTGGACCAGCCAGTGCCTCCTTTTTGGCTTTTAGCTTCCAGATTGTGAGGCAATGCATTTCTGTGTTTTTCAAACCTTCCTAGTCTGTGGCATTCATATTCATTTCTGGAAACCTGATTCCATGCAGGACCAGTCTGAGGAGCCACCACAGCTTTTAATGCTCCTGGGGGTCAGGGAGGCTTTGTTTACATTGTGTGATGTTTAATTTCTCCCTCAGCTCAGGTTTGTTCCTCTTTAATCCTTAGAGGGGTTGATGCTAAGGAACCTCTGATAAACCTATTGTGTATAAATATCTACCTTTGTTTACTGTTGTGTTTCAAGCACTCTCAATACTTGGTGTCTTAATGCAGCAAACAATCATAATTTCTTGATTCTGTGGACCATCAAAGTAGTTGTTTTGGTCTAGGCTGCCATGTGTGATCTCCTGGAGCCGACTGAGCTTGGATTGGCTGCTTGCATGTCTGGCAATAGCTTGGTAGGGAATCTGAGTTCTGCTTCCTGGAAGCTCAGGCTTCCTACTGTCCCAATGTGTGCTCCTCAGGAAATCTCTCCACCCGATATATAAAAATCAAGCCGCACAGGGATTGTGAGCTTTCTAATATTACACAGCCAGCGGTTTCTTGGCTCACACTGTGCTTTGTTTGGTAGCCCCCAGGCACATCTGCTATTCCAGCCTTAGGAGAGACAGGGAACTGCTGCTGTGTGGCTCCACAGCTGCCCTGAGAGAAACAAGATGCCTGCTGGTAAAGGCAGAGCAATCAGAGCTCCATGGTCCAGGGTGTGGCTGCGGTATGAACTGATTCACAGCGAGGCTTACTCGTTAGAGAAGTGGGAATTGGACAGCTGTTCACTGGGTGATTTTAGACCACTGAATGAACATCCTCAAGCTTCTGCTGTTCCATTTTCCCAAGAAGATCATCATGGATTTGTTCCAGTAGAATTATCATGAATGATGTTGGCTGGATGAGCCTCGACAGGCATTAAGCAAAGGCCTTGGCATGCTGGATAAGACATACATGTGGGTATACTTCTGGTGTTCATTAATCATTAATATAAATTTCTCAGTCAAGCAAGGGAATTCCAGGGTCCTCAGGAGCAGTCCGTTAACCTCACTTGGTGTAATGTTCAGCATCACCCCTAGGTGGGGCTCACGAGTCAGGAGCTGAAGGAATGTCATGATTGTCTTTGTGTCTTATGTTGAGGACAGTAGCTTTGGTGGTTGTCAGCTTTCAGTTAGTGTCACAAAATACTGGCGGAAAACAATCTGAAAGAGGAAAAATTTACCTTGGTTCGTGGTTTCAGAGATTTCTGTCCACGTTTGCTTGGCCAGGTAGCTTAATATAGGGCTATGGTGGAAGTGTGAAGTGACTCCAGCCTCACCTTGTGAGGGCCAGGAAGCAGAGAGAAGCAAGAAGTGATCAAGTTCCTAATAGCTCCTCGGAGGCCACGCCCACAATGACCTCACTTCCGGCTGATAGGCCCGGTCTCTAGCAGCACTGGAGCTCAGGCCTAAGTCTTTAGCCAAGAGCCGCTGGGCCCATTCCACTCCCAAACTATAAAGATGATTATTTTTTGCAGAAACCCCCATATTTTAGCCATCCTTGGGGTCATTTGAGAAAGGCTTTCTGTTGTGCAATGTTCTGCTTTGCCATGTAGGGAAGGCAACAAAGCAGCCTGGAAAGTGGAAAGCGTTCTTCTCATATGGAGTCCACACTCCCTAATCATTCTCCAGGACCCGCTGACACCACACTGTGATCCCGAGTCTGTCGGGCACCACCCGTCCATCAGGGTCACCTGTTTTGTGAGCAAAGCAAATGCACACTTTTTAATCTGACAACTGTAATATATTCACATGGTCTTGCATTTGTCTTGTAGCTGCTTCCCAATGAGTTTATCATGACGTAGGACCTTGTGTGTAGGGTGATACGAGGGATGAGAATTTCCTTTGAAATTTTGTAGTTCTCTATTTACACCCTCTGATCATCCTGAGAGAGAAAGAAATTCCTCCCCTTAAGCCAATGTGTGTCCCAGGGAAGGTCAATGTCTGAAGGTTACAAAATAAAAAGCACTTGCTGCCTCATGGGTGGCTACCCTGCCTTCAAGTGGAAAAGGAACTTTTAAGCTTGTGGGTTCAGGGTGGGGAACACTGCCACTTTCAGGGCATATTGGGGGTCACGGGGAAGGGCACTCTAGATGTTCACCTGTTACTAAGTCTTTGGGAAAACAGCTCCAACTAGTGGATTCTGATTCAGAGGCCAGAGGAAGTGTAGACTTGTCGCAAGGGGCATCTTTTTGGGTGTGAGCTTGGATGTCCCAGCCTCCTGTGTGGTCTCAGTCTGGAAGCAGAAGGTTAAGAGTCCTGACTGTGGAGTGAGATGGATCCTTCTCAGCTGGTGCAGCGCTGGGTAAATTATTTGACTCCTCTGTGCCTCCAGGTCTCGATTCCTCATCTGTACAACATCATCAGTGCTTTCATCCTGCAAAAATCAGACGCCTTGCATTTCTCCGTTTTCTTTCACTAAAATGAAGCACCTGAGGCTGAGTATTTTATAAAGAACAGAGGTTTCTTGTGGCTCACAGTGTGGGCCCAAGGTCAATGTCTGCAACCAGAGGTGGCCTTTTGCTGTTAGAGTGCTGGGAGAGCTCAGGGCTTCACACAGCAGAAACAGTGAGCACTCGTTTCTCTGTGTGTTCTAGTTTTTTGTTCTTTCCTGCGGAGGCCACCAGTATTAACTCATAAGGGAGCCAGGGTCTTCCCCTTATTTAATCTTAATTGCATCCCAGTCCTTACCAGTAAATACCATGATCAGATGGAGTCCCATCACCTGAATACCTTCCAGTGGGGATGCACTTTCAATACACAAACCTGGGGTGGGGTATGCTCAACTCATATGTAAACCCTAGCACCCCAAACTAAATCATGCATTAGAAGGAGAAAGGCAGCAGCTGGTTCTGGACAGATCTGCCAGCCTGATGAGAGGGTCACAAGAGAATAGCGCCCTCTGGGGGTGGGGGTTCTGCAGAATGCAAAGCCGCCATGTTGAATGTTGTTCCTGGGTGTGGTGACATGGGAGGTGGCCAGGACCCTTTGACATGTGCGGTGGAGAGGGCAGGAGTTAGGTCAGCAGTCACATCGCCCTCAGGAGTCCACTTAGTACTCATGGAACCCTGGATAATTCCCTTGAGCAGATTGTCACCAAGAGCAAGCCTGGTGCCTCCCCAGTGTCTTCCGTCTTCCTGCCTAAATATCTTTGTGTGTTTCTCATACTACTGGCATTTGAACCCAGGACTTTTATATTAAGATACATTCCCAGATATTTTTAATCTTTTATTTTGAGACACGACCTTGCTCAGTCACTATGTTGCCCTCAGACTTGTGATCTTCCTGCCTCAGCTTCTCAGAACGCTGGGATTGTAGACATGCACCACCAAGCTCAGCCCGCCCCCCATCCTTTCAAAGGAAAAGGCGGCACAGGATGATTTCTATTACAGGACCCCAAAGTGTTCACATGTGTTTAAATTAGGCATAGATCACTTGTCTCTCTCATGCAGAAATGGCTGGTTCAGAGACAGAAAGAGTAAGAGACAGGCAGTGTAAAAAGTGTGCAGTGTAAAGTGAACATTAACCGCTGTTCCCCCGAATTGTGTGATGCTGAGGTGACAGAGATGTTGTTTCTGGGGTTAGCTAGTTCCTAGACACAGCAAGCGCGCCACCTGCTGGTGCAGCTCTCATGTGCCAAGCAAGGGATCCAAGGCCACAGGCCAACTGTGTCTAACTCGCATGCCAGGCCGGTATTTCTCACGCCCTAAATAACCACAAAAATAGGTTTTGGACAACTGGGGACAGTTTATACAGCCTAGAGCTTGATAAATCATTCAACCTGGCCCCTCTTCAGCCTTCCTAGAGAACCTTGCTCTTTACTTTTCCTTGGTGACAGCAATAAAAGAGTGTGCCTTGCTTTCTTCTCATTTCTTCTACTTTCTGACCAGCACTGAGTCTTCTCTTGTGGTTAGCATAGCCTGGCATGCCTTGTGCTGTTGGGCGGTGTAACAAACTCTGCTTTCAAGAGGCTTTTCTTCTGTCATCTCACCATATTGGATAGAACAAAGCCTTCAGGGCAATCTCCTTGAGACCCCTTCTGTCTTTCTTCAGACTGAAGCTTTCTTTCTTTCTTTGAATAAATATATTCTACTCTTAACTTCCATTGTTCCTCAGATTCATTCTTCAATTTAGAGAATATGAGCTTGTAAACAAACATAGGAGGTGGGGAGTTTCATTCCCCCATATCATTTGGAGGTTCCACCGACATCACTGGATGGAGGTGAGAGTTTGTTTTTGCTTCATAGACTCTGGACTGGGACTCATTTAGGTAACAAATTTTTATGCCTCACATTTCGCTTTGTCTTTGCCAGTTCTTTATAACTACTTGTGACAATCGCTTGCTATTTGCCCACTGTTTTTAATTGCTTTGTCTCATACAGTTTTATTAAAATAATGTGAATCTAAGGTAAAACATGCAAAATTTATAAGTTATAATGTTTCTTTAATGGTATATTATTATTATTTTGTTCTTGCACAAGTTAAATTGGTTGCTAAAGTTACTGGTACTCCTTGCTTGACTGGATTTAGACAATGGCATAAGAAAAGATATTAGAACATCTCTGACAGGCTTTAATGTAAACTTTTGTAAAATCGTTCTCTTAAATGGAAATCTAGCTCAGCCTTAGAAAATATACATGCCTACAATAAAAAAAAAACCAGGACTCCTTCTGCTGTTAGTGGCAAGAATTCAAGACTTGGAGGACAGATTTCATTGAGACAGACTGGCTCTGATCCTCCCCTATACTCCAGATAATTATATCCTCTATATAAATGATTGGAGCAAAAATGGGTGAGGCTGCTGTTATAGTGGTCTTTTCCTGGGGCCATGCTTCTGTAAGACCCTCCAGGGTTATGGTTTGTTCCAGATATCTCCCCAAAGCCTCATGTAGTCAGAGATGGGACTTTTTAGAGGTGTCTGGATTAACCACTGGAATTGATTCGTGGTTCAATGCTAGGATGCAAGGTGTTGGAATTAAGGGTGTATTACCAGCCCTACGAGTGGGTAGACTGGATAAAATATAAGACAGAAAGAGGCTTGTCACTGGCCACTTGCTAGCTTTTCCAGTCCTTTGCCTGCCATAAACTGTTTTTCTTCTGCTATGGCATCTTGCCTAGGAGACAGCCACATATGAATTGAAACCTCTACAAACTGTGAGCTAAGTAAACCTTTCCTTCTTTAACTTTGGATGTTGCATATTTTGTCTCAGCAATGAGCAAAGTAACTAATATATCCAGTAATCAGGGAAGACCTGGATCTCTCTACCTGATTCATCAGTTTTAGGTTCTTTGAAGCTCGTCCTCATACTCTAGGACCTGGTGAATCTGGAGCACTATTCCTGATTTGGCACCTGGCCGGTTTTGAGTCTTAAATGGAACTCTGCATTTGCTGACAGCCACTAGACTGTCTCTCTCTGTCTCTCTGACCGCAGTCCCTTTGCTCTGGCTGTTGCCCTGCTCATCTCCAGTGCTGTTAGCCTGACTTGTTGTACTGGTGCAGTTCCTGCTCCTGACACCTGACTCCAGCTTCCTCCTGGGCTCATTTGCTCCTGTTTGGATCTCACTGCTCACTCTGCTTCCTCTGCCTCCCTCACGTCCCCCATTCTACCTGAGCCCTCCATCCTGGACCTCGGACCTTTCTGCCTGCCCTGCACTCCCTCTCCTTGCTTCTCCCCACTCAGTCTTGGCTTCTCCCCACAGTCCTCACCTTCTTTTCCTTTCTCCGCTGCTTGCTTGGTCTTTCAGTTATGCTCCACTGTCTGCCTCCCCTTGGCTTCCTCAGCATTTTGCAGATGAGGTTCAGCTTTTCTCCCCCGTTTCACTGTGCCTGGAGCTCTTCTCGGCTCCAGGTCTGGCTGCTGCTTGTGGTTGTGGATGGAGGCTTTGTTATTTCCACTCCCAGCCTTACAATAAGCAATTTCCTGTCTCCCCACTCCCTGGCTGGTGCATGATCTTGTTAAACTAAAAAGAAAAATTCCCAAGCTGAGCAGTGGAAAAAGGAAGCTGGGTCTTTTACTATGTATTTTTCTTTTATGGGTGAAGCTGCGATTTATCTATGCTGAGGAAAGCCATTTGCATGTTCTGTGACTGTCCTCAGAACTTGCCCATTTATCTTATCATTTTTGGCCCTTTTGAATTTGGAAGAAGCCCCTGATTATTAATAAATTAGCCTTTTGAGGTGAGCTACTCACCTTTTCTTGGGTTTCTGGTGGTTTTGTGAAGATTTTTTAAAAACCAAAAACACAAAATGTATTAATCTAATTGTGGTCTCCAGGTCACAATTTTAAAAAGATCCTTTTCCTTGGCTATTACGAATAAATTATTTACCCCTTGGTTTCTTCTAGGATTGGGTACGGTTTTAATGTTTACATGTAAATGCACGATAACTCTTTTCAAAATCAAATAGTGGTGCCAGACTTCAACACAGCTTTTCTTTTGAACTATCTGTGTTGCCTTTACTACCTTAGCAGCCAGGTCACCTGCCTCCACATTATTGTGGAACAATTTCCAGCAATCTGTGACTTGAGGATGATGTATGTGGAGGTGGAATACTTGCCTACTGGGGCCCAGATTGACCTGTCTGTCTGGGATAAGGCAGTGGTCACTACCCAAGCATCATCAGCTGTGAGGACTTGAGGAATTTGGATTCTAAGCTCATATTGGGAGAGTTGTTTGCTGATGGAAACAACTTAATTTTTTAAATTTTTTTATTTAAAAGAAGATTAAGATAAAAGAGGACATAACAAAACAGGTCAGAACAGAATAGTTTAAGCAACATAGTGTTTCACCACAACACAATCCGACATAACAGTAGCTACCAGAGTGTCTCTTTCCTTGAGATATTTGAGTATACCTTCGTATACTATAGTATCAAACATAAAAGACAGTGTAAAACCATTCAAGAGAATGAAAGTATAACAGAGTATTCAGAATCAACTAACAGAAAATGAACAATGGTTACTATATTATCTCCTTGTCTATAAAATATTTTATTTATACTATCACATATAATAAAAGCAATAAGATACGAAATGATAAAACCAATGGAGACAGAAGAACAAATGCTTGGTGGGACTTCAAAACAAGATAATATTAAATCAGCATTAGCTATTATAATGTCTTGTTTTCTTCTTCATACCAACACAGACAATAAAATAAAATAACCCAGAATAAAACCATTCTAATTAATGAATGAAAACATTATAATGCTTCAAAGCAATGTAATGGGGAATCATGATTACTATGTACTTTTATGTATTCTTACCATTTCTTATACTAGGGAAACTAATTGGTATTTATACATGTGAGTTCGATTTATTTTGCTTATGAGTATGGTCTCAAGCGGCATCAATATATTCATAAATATCTCAGTGTGATCATTCTTTATAGCTGAGTAGTACTCCATTGTATAAAAATACCACAAATTTTATCCATTCCTCAGTTGATGGACACAAGTTGTTCGTAAGATCTGGCTATTACAAATTGTGCTGCTATAAACATGGGTGAAAATATATCATTGTGCTATGAAGTCTTCAGTTCTTCTGGGAATATGCCTAGAAGTGGAATAGCTAGAACAAATGGGACCTCCAATCCCAGCTTTCTGAGAAATTTCCAGACTGACCTCCACAATGGTTGCACCAGTCTACACTCCCACCAACAGTGCAGAAGAGTTCCTTTTTCCCCACAGGCTCTCTAACATTTGTTGTTGGTAGTTTTCTTGATTCCGGCCATTCTTTCTGCAGTGACATTGAATTTCAGTGTGGTTTTAATTTGCATTTCTCTAATGAGTAATGATGATGAACATTTTTCATGTATTTATTTGCCATTTGTATTTCTTCATCTGAGAACTGTGTATGCCCATTTTTGGATTGGGTCTTTGAATTTTGTGGTTCTGATTTTTTAAATTCTTTGTATGTTTTAAGACCTTTGTTTGAGGGATAGTTCACTAAGATTGTTTCCCAGTTTGTAGGTTTTCTTTTTACTGTGATAGAGATTTCTTTTGACATGAAGAAACTTTTTAAAAAGGTATGATCCCAGTTATTGATTCTGGGAAGTATTTCCCGTGCAGTTAGATTGCTGTTCATGAACTGTCCACCTACCCCAAAGGTTTTAACCAACTTGTCTTGCAATAGATTTAGTGTTTCTGTTTTAATATTCCGATCTTTGATCCATTTAGATTTTAATTTAGTACATGGTGATAGGCATGGGTCTAGTCTTAGTTTTCGGCATATAGAGAGCCAGTTTTTCCAACACCACATATTAAAGAGACTATCATTCTGCAAGTGAACATGTTTGGCCCCTTTATCAAAGATAAGGTGGTTGAGTGTGTTGGTAGTTGTGGTTGTATCTTCTAATCTACTCATTGATCTTCAGCTCTGTTTTTATTCCAGTACCATGTTGATTTTATTACACTTGCTTTGTAGTATAACTTCAAGTCAGGGATTATGATGTCTCCTGCCTTGCCTTTACTGATTAGAATTGTCTTTGCTATTCTAGGTCTCCTTTGGTTCCAGATGAATTTTAGGAGTGATTTCTATATATCTATGAGGTATGTTGATGGTATTGTCATTGGAACTGCCTTGAATCTGTATAACAATTTTGGAAGAATGGCCGTTTTCACAATATTTATTCTTCCTATCCATCAGCAAGGGATGTCTTTCCACTTTCTGAGAACCTCTTCAATTTATTTTTTCATTGTATCATAATTTTCCCTATATAGATCTTTCACTACTTTCATGAGGATAATTTGTAAATATTTCAGTTTTTTGGTTGCTAGTGTGAAGGGTGTGGCTTCTCATATTTCTCTGTGATCTTGTTAGTGTATAGAAATGCTATTGAGTTTTGAGTATTGATTTTTTTATCCAGCTACATTGCTGAATTTATTTATTATATCTAGAAGTCTTGCCATGGAGTTTTGAGGGTCTTCTATGTAGAGTATCATGTCATTCACAAATAATGATAATTTAACTTCTTCTTTTCCTATCTTTACCCCTTTTATTTCTCTCTCTTGTCTAATTGCTCAGGCTAGTATTTTCAGTACTAAGTTAAATAGGAGCAGTGATCAAGGATATCCTTGTCTTCGCCTGATTTCAAGGTAATGGCTTTCAGTTTTGGCCATTTAGCATAATACTCACTGTTGGTTTGCCATAGATGCCCTTTATCATATTGAGGTGAAGACCATCTATTCCAGTTTTCTGTAAGGTTCTTATCATGAATGAATGTTGGACCTTACCAAAGGTTTTTCTGCATCTATATAAATGATCATGCAATTCTTACATTTGGCTTTACTGATAAGGTGGATTACATTTATTTATTTACATATGTTGAACCACCTCTGCATGCCTAGGATGAATTCCACTTGGTCATGGTGTATAATCATCTTGATGATTTGCTGCATCCTATTTTCCAATATTTTATTGAGGATTTTTGCATCTGTGTTCATTAGGGAGATTGGCCTGTAGTTCTTTTTAGTTGGGTCTTTCTTAGGTTTAGTACTAGAGTAATATTTCCTTCCAGGAAAGACTTAGGAAGGATTCCTTTCAATTTCATTGAAGAGTTTGAGTCGTGTCAGCATTAAGTCTTCTTTGAATTTCTTGTAGAATTCTGCAGTGAATCCATCTGGGCCTGGGCTCTTCTTTGCAGGTAAGGACTTAATTACATTTTCAATTTCATTAATAGAAATTGGGCTATTCAACAGTTTTACATCTTCTTGACCTAATTTTGGTACTTTATGTTTCTAGGAAACTCAATCTCTTCTGTATTATCAAACCTTTGAGAGTGGAGGTTTTTGAAATAGGTGTTGATGATCTTTTGTATTTCTAGAGTTTGTAGTGATTTCACCTTTTTCATTCTTTATTGCAAGAATTTGAGCTTTTTCTTCCCTTTTTTAGTAAGTTTGGCTAGGGGTTTTTCAATTTTATTTATTCTTTCAAAGAACCAACACTTTGATTGATTCTTTGTTTTCTTAGTCTCTATTGCATCAATTTCTGCTCTGATTTTTATAATTTCCTCCCTTCCTTTGGCTTTGGGCTTGACTTGCTCTTCTTTTACTAGATGTTAGAGGTGTAGCATCAGGTTATTTATTTGTATTCATTCTGTTTTCCTGATGTGGGAACTCAGTGCAATAAATTTTCTTCTGAGGACAGCTTTCATTGCATCCCACAGATCCTGTTAAGTTATATTTGCCTTTTCATTTGCTTGTATGTATTGTTTAACTTCTTCTTTAATTTCCCCTATGACCTACTGATCACTCAACATTAAGTTATTCAGTTTCCATGTGGTTGTGTGAATTTTGCTTTATCTTTTATCATTAATTTCTAATTTCATGGCGCTATGATCTGATAACATGCATGGGATAATTTTCATTCTATTGCATTTATTTAAATATATTCTGTGGGCTAGTATATGGTCTATTTTAGAGAATGTCCCATGTTCTGCTAGAAGAATGTGTATTCTGATGTTGTGGATGGAACATTCTGTATGTGTCTATCAAGTCCATTTGTGTTGGGAGCCGCGGCCGAGCCCGGTCGCCTTACTTGGCGGACGTGAGGCCTGTAGGAAAGAGCAAAGCCTGAGCTAGATTACCCCTCCCATCGAGTGAGCCAAGTTGGCGCCTGATTCCTGCCCCCTGATTGCCCTGGCGACGTAAGCAGCCCGCGCAATAGAATAGTCTGCCTAGCAACAACTGATGTTAGCCAATCAGCCCGCATCGCGCGCTTTGAACTGATTGGCCACTGTTACCCTATAAAAGTAAATGCCTCTCCCGCCACGAGAGAGAAGCACAGAGAGAGAGATAGAGAAAGTCCA